GATTTATATCAAAAAGCTAAGTTATAATGTAGACCATTTTTCAATATTGTTAAATGGCAAAGTAATCAGACTTCTTTCTTTACATAAGGCCTTACCGAGGGAGAGATCTCCATTCCCAAAACCTCAGCAGGCGATGTGGAAGTGATTCAGATAAGTAACAGAGCCACCACCCTCTTTTTCAGTTCATAGGAGTATGTGTATTGAATAAACAAACACTCCATTAAGGGCTATGTGTTTGTGTAATGTTAAGATCCTCATTATGGTGAGCGTTTAGATGTTGTGTGGAAAATAATATTCCAACACTTTTAAAGTTAAACTAAAGATTAAAAAAAAACTGTTACCAACTCCATGGACAAGTCAAGAGTTTTCGAACGAATATCATAGAGGTAGAAAAAGATGCATATAGAGAATGAAAATCTATATCCTTTGTTTCTTTCTTTTTTGGCTATTATATTGTAATTCAGTTTTGGATAAGGTTATGTGTTTTCCTGCAGCTTGCAAGGATGAAAATTCAAGAGAGCCATCCAAATCAGTCTTTCCTCACCCAAAAGAGACTTTACAGATCAGTTTTTAATGTGTTTCGGATGATTTAAGAGAAGAGTCATAAGCACCATCAGACAATATCAACCTCCAGTGCAAAAGTATATGGCATTGACATAAATTCAGGTAATATCTTGTCTGTTTAGTATGTGAAGTTGTGTTAGAATATCGCATAACTGAGTCTCTTACTAGAATAAAAAAAAATAGGAAAGAAAGGCGAATTACAGGTCCTGTTCAAAAGCGTCTACATACCATTGAAATGTCAACTGATGATGAAGTATTTTTAGGTGACCCGAAGGCTTATTTATCAGGTTAAAAGAAAGGTATTGCATGTAATTTTATCGTATGATTTCCACTCTGTAACTTTCTCTCATACCCTTTATATTCATATTGGGGAAAGATTCTAGATGTGTTAAAAATTTGAGCCTGAAAGAATGTAGAGAATATTGTTGTTATAGCTGGGAAGAGGATTGTAGGATTAGGAGAACGTGGATCATTAAATTAGTAAATTAGCATGTCCCTTCGTTTCCCTAAATGGCCATTTAAACGAGTTATCTTCTTGGACAAGAAATCTATGAAAAAACTACATCATAACCCAGAAAACAGTGTACGTGTAAACTATTTCAGGAGAGGATTACGTTCGATAAGGGAAGTGGATGACGACCAAGTAATCTATGGGAAAATCTCATTGTTAGGTATCTCTTCAGATGTTACGTCATTTTGAGTTCAAATGATCTGAAAAAGATATTGAACAGAGTCGGTGTTACTTTAGAGATGGATATACATGTTTGTGAATTGGTATTATATTCAGCAGTTGGAGATGTTGGTCCTTCTGCTATAATGGATTAAGCTTACTAAGAGTTTGTACAATATTTCTAAGGAACCTAAGACTAAATTGAGTTTCTTGCAGTGTTACTTATGATCAATGATTTGGGAATAAACAATGAGAAACTCTTGAATAAAAAGTATTTTTCTCTCATGAATGAAAAATTCTACATAGGACTCAGAACATAGTTTTTTTTTTTTTTTTTTTTTTACTTTATGCTACTTTTTAAAAAACTTTTGCTACTATTCGTCACTCTTTTGTTTGTTGATCTCTATGAAATCTTTAATTAAACATAAAAAAAAATACAAAAAATCCCTAATCCGGGGCAAAACTCGAAAACTCATCAAATTGCAAACTCAAATTTTTCCAGAAAACAATATTGTGATACACAATACAAAACTCGAAGATATAAATAAGAGGCCACATAATTTATTGTTAGTATTTATATAAGAAGCCACATAATTTTTATAAGAGGCCACATATATTTTTTTTGCCTTAGGCCACAATAAATTAAGGGACGGCACTGGATATAATTATAGTAAAGCTTCAACAGCGTGGACATTAATCCACACTGCTTCCACGTACTGGAGAAATATCAGTCGCATTACCATATCATACTTTACTCAACAATCAATACATAACACAAACACTTTTGTAACACTGAAAATGTACATTGCAATACCAAATGTTAAATTGTGAAATTATGAAAACACACTTCTACTTTATATAAATATCTGACACAAAATTATACAAAAAAAATAAAACACCCTGCGCGTAGCGCAGGCAAACCCCTAGTCTTATACAATAAAGTTGAGTTTTCTCACTTCTCAAACTTCCACATCAGCATTAGAACATAGGGCAAAAAAGGACATGTCAGCATTTACTAATTGAAATCAAACCGGACAAAATTAATTCTCATCTCGGTTTGTCACATCCTGATTTTTTGAGTTTCTGAAAAAAATGGTTTAGGCTCTTCAAAATATAATGGCCAGTTNTCTTATACAATAAAGTTGAGTTTTCTCACTTCTCAAACTTCCACATCAGCATTAGAACATAGGGCAAAAAAGGACATGTCAGCATTTACTAATTGAAATCAAACCGGACAAAATTAATTCTCATCTCGGTTTGTCACATCCTGATTTTTTGAGTTTCTGAAAAAAATGGTTTAGGCTCTTCAAAATATAATGGCCAGTTATAGAATGATTTATGTATTACCCAATTTGCAGATATTTTTTTAGATTTAGACACATTTTCAGTCTGTTAAATCGTCTTCTTACGTTATGTTTCAGATATCAAACCGGCGGTCATCTTTTTGTAAATTTTTTTTTTTACTTTTTTGTAAAGTTTGTTCTCATGCATCCTTATATTTCATATAAAATAATTAACACTTGCACAACTTATAACTAAACAAGGTGCATAGTTTGTATTACATATATTGCAACATCTTCAACGTTTTAGTGTACACAATTTAAAGTAACAAATGATAATAATTAACACAAATTAATAGAATTATGAAGATACCATCATAGAAAATTATGAACACTTTCATAATTCATATAAGATTACACAAACTACAGAGCTAATGAACACTTGCACAACTTCTAAAAAATAAACAAAGAGCAGAGCTTATATCACTTTGTTTAAACAAATGTCGGAGCTTATATCACTTTAGTTTTTGATTGCCACATATATAAGAATCTGTTCAAAAAAATGATTGCCACATATACAAGGTTTTAGATGAGAAATTTATAAGTAACAAACTGATAATAATTAATTAACACAAAATAATAAAATTAAGAAGTTACCATTACAGAAAATTATGAAAACCTGCACATCTCATAAAAATTAGACACATTTCAGAGCTTATAACCTATATTGACATATCCTATACGCTTAGAAGACAAGTTTATAAATAACAAACTGCTAAAAATTAACAAAAAAAAAATTGGATTTAAGAAGCTATAACCTTACAAATTAAAGTTTATCGTTGCAGGGTGCCTACACGCCTCCCAACTGAATGATTAGCTCACACTGTAAATGCAGTGTAATTGCAAAAGTCAGTAGTTACGTATCTCCTACATTCTTTCACTACACAGTTCTGATGCAATCTCTTGATTCCAAATTACTCAACCATTACGATTTTCAGAAATAATGGTGAAGACGCCAGTTGAATTTAATGGCAAAGAAACCACGGGAGATCTCCCAAAAATCTTAGTGTTTCTGAACACTCCACCGCATCATCATCATATGTAACCAAAAGAAGTCATAAAAAGAAAAAGAATTTGGTCCAAAGGAGACGTAAACTAATTCTTTATGACTTTGACAACTTACTCTTTTGTAAAAAAAATTATGTACTTATTCCTACTCTTAAATCTTTGTACCACCAGTATCTGAACCACGACAGCCTTGGCTACAAGATAAATATCTACCACGCACACCAGGCCCCCCTCCCCCCCATATCGGACACCTATCAGCTGAAGCTCATCTTGATAGTGAGGGAATAAATCAGTACTTCTTCCACCACAAATCAATCAAAGCACTCAATCACCTCACATGTGCCAATCTGCTTATGGAAAATACGATAAGGGTATGTATCTTTGGGGTTTAGTAATGTTGTGCAGAGGAAACCTCAAAGAAGGAAAATATTTCTTTGATATCCTTAACTAGGAACACACACTATCAAAATCCGAGCACTAGGTTCAAGTACTTTGGATATCCTATCAGATTTCTTTGATACACTACTATGGCAATGCTATCAAGAAACTTATGTTCGGGACAAGAACGTTCTCTGAAAACACCGCACCTGACGGTGGACCAATGGCAGAGGACATTGAGCATATGAAAGCTATGTTTGAAGCATTAGGGTTTAAGTTCGCCTTTTGTATCTCTGATTATCTATATATGCTCACGTGACTTGATTTTAACGGTCACGAGAATGGTGGCGTTTAAGATATAAACGATCGGTCTAGGATTGTTACTATTTTGTGTATAAGATATAAACGATCAGTCTAGGATTGTTACTATTTTAAGAGGACGATATATTATCTTCCTTGAAACAACATAATCACAAAACAAACACAACTATTTACATTTTTCATTTACAAACATGAACTTTAGTTTATGTTTAAGTATTTACTAAATTAACTTTGTAAAGTCTATCAAATTTTTACTCTACCTTTATTTGTTTCGATTAATAACAACCACTTATGCTACTCCACTAATAATCAGAAAAGATCATTGTCTTCAACATACTTACAACATCAAATTTCTAAATATAATCTCTTCACCAAGGTCACAAAATAAATCGCAACTTCTTTTATAATAACATATATGAATCCGGCGCGTAGCGCCGGTACACCACTAGTNTTACTCTACCTTTATTTGTTTCGATTAATAACAACCACTTATGCTACTCCACTAATAATCAGAAAAGATCATTGTCTTCAACATACTTACAACATCAAATTTCTAAATATAATCTCTTCACCAAGGTCACAAAATAAATCGCAACTTCTTTTATAATAACATATATGAATCCGGCGCGTAGCGCCGGTACACCACTAGTAATATAAAAGAGAGAAGAAATCAAGAATAAATATTCAATTCTCTTTTTTTTTTCTTCCCTTCAATCAAAGCAGAATCTGTGAACCCAAAACCCTAATCAACCTCTCCTCTCTTGCCTCCTCCTCCTCCTCTTCACACCAAAGCTTCTCTCCTTTATTCTCGCCCGATTCTCAGAAGTCTCCTCGGTTTCCATCTCTCTCTGCCGCCAGGTTTTGTCTCTTGATCCAAATTTCAGATTTAGGTTTTTTTTCTTTCAAATCTGATCGAAAGATTTGAACTTTATTTCTAGGGTTTTGATCTACGGTTTTCGATTTGAATCTTGATTAGTTCTTTTCTTGATCTGTAATTAAATTTGTTTTTGGGGTTAATTCTCAGGAATAGTGTGCAGATATGGCTACCGAGGAAGCTGTTCACGAGGCTCACCAAGTCGCTGAAGCCTTTGTGGATCAGTACTATCATCTTGTCGGAAATTTAACTCATGAAGCTCATAGGCTTTATGTAGATGCTAGCGTTGTCAGCAGACCAGGTCCTGATGGTACCATGACCTCTTTTACATCCCTTGAGGTAACTAGTTAATGATTTTTGACTTTATTAGTTTCTCTTTGTTGTTTACTTTGAGGTTTTAAGAGACTCTTGATTAGAGTATCTATTGCAAGAGACTTCACTTATCATAATAGTTACAGGCTATCAACAAGCACTTTGTGTCATGTGACTCTACTACATTCGAGATGCTAAGCGTTGATTCTCAGTCTTCCTTGGAAGACGGGATATTGATCATGGTTATTGGTTTCTTGATCGGAGAAGACAACTTGAAGAGGAAGTTTTCTCAGATGTTCTATCTGGCTCGTCAAAACACTACCTACGTTGTTGTTAATGACATCTTTCGTTATGTTGATGAGCTGTCTTCTACTCCAATAACTCTTCCAGCTGTCGATGTAGCTGGTAAGTGGTCTAAGTTCGTTGAATTTGAAAGTATGTTTCATGTCTTTATCTAAGATGAGAACTCTTATTCAGTACCAGAAACTGAGGTAGTGAAGCCAGTCCATGCTCCTGCTGAGAACTCTGTTAATACTTCTGAAGTATCTGAAGTGAAGAAGGCTGTTGTTGCTGAAGCTGCTACTCCGTTGGACAATGGGAGTAACAAGAACTCTGTTGAAGAAGCTGTTACTGCTCAAAAACCTAAAGAGACAGTTGCTGATAGAGCTGCTCCTACGCTTGATGGAGCCAAGAAATCTTATGCTGCCATGGTTAGTTTTCTTTTTGGAGGTTTTACTTTGTCTATGCAAATACTTATTAGCTAACTAAACTTGAGAAACAGGTTGAATCAATGGCGAGAAGCGCTGCTCCTTTACAAGCTAAACCAGCCTCGGTTCAGAAACCTAGATACGTGGCAGCACCCAAGCCACGTGAGGCGGCTCCAGCACCACCTAAATCACCTGCTGCTGTTATTAAACGTGAAAGGAAAAACGACCAGAGGATTGTCGACGAGCCAGGTTAGAAAGACAGAGAGTGAAGAAACTCATTTTCTTTTCTTGTCTATTTTGGATTCATCAGATTTTTTTGGTAATTGTTGTTGTTTGGGGGGTTTCAGGGACTTCGATATTTGTGTCAAATCTGCCAATGGATGCAATGCCGCCTCAGCTCCATGATCTGTTCAAGGACTTTGGTGCTATTAAAGAACATGGAGTTCAAGTCAGAAGCTCCAATGTAAGAATCTTTTATCAATCATCTCTTTTTTTTATAGCACAAGGGAAATAGTTGTAAACATTTTTTCTTATATGTATCAGGCTCGTGGAACTTGCTTCGGTTTTGTTGCCTTTGAATCTGTTACCTCTGTCCAGAGCGTGCTTGAGGCTGCTAAGAACAATCCCTTCAAGCTTGGAGACCGTAAGCTACGTGTAAAGGAGAAGCAAGGCAAGCTTGTCTTTCTTTAGACAACCCTCTTTATCTAAAAAGCTGTCACAGTTTATATGAGGCTTCTTGTTGTTTGTTTGTTTGCAGTTGAGTATGATGGAAGCAAACCGTCTGGTGGGAGAAAGAGTGAGAATGGTTCCTCTGCTGAAGGAAGCAAACCTTCTGGTGGGAGAAGCGTAGGAGGAGGAGGAGGAAGCAAGAGTGAGAATGGCTCCTCTGCAGATGGAAGCAAGGCTGAGAATGGCTCTCCTGCAGGTGAGGAAGATGACTTCAAGCCAATCAAAAGCCGTAGGAACAGAAGCGAGAGAAAAGGAAACGAGAAAAACAGTGTGCAAACAACACCAAAACCAAAAGCTTGATACTCTCTCCTTTGCAGACACCAGAGTCGAGTTGAGATTATTTTTCTTATATTACAGATTTACATCTCTTTTACTTCTTTAGGTCGTTTCTTACATCTTATTGGTGTCAACATTATTTTTCTTTTTTCTCTTTTTTTTTTCTTTCAACAAGACAATATTCTATCGTCTTTCGTTTTTCTTATATTCCAAAATTTATTTTTATTTCTCAAATTCATTTTATTACAGTTAAAACTCTATGAAGTAATAATGTTAAGATTACACCAAAATTATAATATTTTATTAATTTATAGAGATTATTAATTTATTGATAATATTTTATTAATTCATAGAGATTATTAATTTATCGATATACTGAACCAAAAACACAATTTGAATCTATAAAATTATATTAATTTATAGAAATTTCTAATGTATATTAATTTATCGATCATTAATTTATAGAGGTTGTTCTGTATATAGTTATTGTTGTATAATAAAGCTTCTGAGAATTAAAAATAGATTAGAATTTTCAGTGTTAGAAGGCATTTGTATCCAACGGTGTAGAATCAATTCAGATCTAATTTCACATCATACTGAATATTGTAATTTGAAAAAAAAAGAACACCAAAAAAAAGTAGAAAACTATAATATCTAAATTGAGTTTGAGTGTAGTGACTATAGTTCAGGTTAAGTATTTAAGAATTAAGATTACAATATTTAGAATTATAAATTAATTTTTAGTTAGTTAATCCTTTTAACTAATGTTATTTTAGTAAAATTTTAATTAATTTTTAGTTAGTTGATCCCTTAACTAGTGTTATTTTAGTAATTTTTTTTTGTTTTTTGTCATAATTATTTTCTTGAGCTATCTAAAAAAGAGTTAGACAAGAAATAAAAAATATACATGTGAATGCCAAACAAAGCTATGGGATGAAAGAAACCTCAGCATCAAAGCTTTCAAGACTCTCTCTCTCATATGGTGTGTTAAATGGGCCGGGCCGGGCCGGGAAATCTTTTTAAGGTAAATGGAGAGTTAGCACAAATAAAACTGTTTCTTCCTACTTCCTTCTTCTCCTTCTTCCCGTGTAAAGAAGTGCGAGATTCACTTGAGAGCGTGTAACTGGTAATCTCCTGTTATTGGATTCCGTAAACCCTAGATTCCATGTTGCATAACTAACCTCTTCGTTTCTGTTTCAGATCGAGAGCAGAGAGAGATTCGTCGATTTCTTAAAAAAAAAATCAAAAGCAAACATCATCATCAATTGAAGAGTTGAAAAAAAATCAGGGATTATGTCGGACTGGAGAGTCAAATACAAGAGCACTGTGAAGGATCCAGGAACTCCTGGCATCCTCAAAATAGTAAACTCTTCTCTTTTGGCGTGAATACTGAGTTTTGTAATTGAGTCCCTTTGAGTTTAATCTGTTTATATTGATTTTGGCAGAGGGAAGGGATGCTTCTCTTCGTTCCAAATAATCCAAACTCTGATTCAAAGCTTAAAGTCCTGACTCCCAACATCAAAAGTATCTCTCTTCTTTACTAAATCATTTTTATCAAATAAGAGACTCTCTGTTTGCCTAAAGATGATTATTATTTATTATTTCTTCAATTTTTCTCACAGGTCAGAAATATACTAAAGAAGGATCTAATAAACCTCCTTGGCTCAACCTCACCAACAAGCAGGTCTTTTCTTTGTTATAAAAGCTTTTTTAAAAAAAAATACAGATATGTTGAAGTTTCCTCAATTTTTTTTGAATATAGGGAAGGAGTCATATCTTTGAGTTTGAAAATTATCAGGACATGCATTCTTGCCGTGGTTTCATCAGTAAGCTTGGTCTTCTTCTTCTTCCTTTTGTCTTTCTTTTTATTTAATGAAATCTAATTTCTTTTGTTCACTATGAGCAGCTAAGGCGTTAGCTAAATGTGAAGAGGAGCCAAAGAAACCAGCTGTCTCTACATCTGCTGAGCAAGCCAGTATTGCTGACTTGAAGCGTCGTTTCGAGGTCCTTCGAGAAAACAGGTATGTGTAATCACAACATTTTAAAGTTCATAATTTCTGTTGGTTAAAAAAATTTTAAAACGGGTATGAGTAACATGTATATGATGTGAAGTGAGTTGCAGAGATTGCATAAGGAGTTTGTGGAAACTAAAGTTCTGACTGAAGATGAGTTCTGGGCTACTAGGAAGGTTTGCTTTTCTTTGTGGTTTCCGTTAGTGTTTTCAATCTTCTTGTGAGTGTCCTTGTAGTTACAGACTTTATTACATTGTAGAAACTACTGGGTAAAGATTCCATCAGAAAGTCGAAACAACAGCTTGGACTGAAGAGCATGATGGTTTCCGGCATCAAACCGTCTACCGATGGGCGGGTATAGTATAATTCTCTCGACCCTTCAAGTTAAATGCTCATGTGCATGCTTCTCTAGGAAATAAATGATGCATAGTCCGTTATATTTGGCTGAAGTACATCCATTTTGTTGTATGTTATGTGACATTTCACCTAGCTTACTAACCACTTTCTTTACTTGTTTTGTTTCTTTCAGACTAATAGGGTGACATTCAACTTAACCTCTGAGATAATTTTTCAGGTAACCCCTTTGGTTCACTACATTTGTCATTGCTGTAAGTGTAATAAGTTTCTGAATCCTAATCAAAGTTGGATCGGGATAAGTTTAAATGGTGAATGGGGTTAAAGTTTCAATTGGGAATACATTAGGACTTAAGATTCATAAATAGGTGTTCAGGTTGCATCATGTGCTTCCAGTTTGAAACTAAACGCGAGAAATGGAATAGCATTTTAGTTTAGCTTCTGTTTTGTGCTCGTTTAATATGTAAATATGTAGAAAGAATCTGCAATGTTGTTTTATGCATGCGACTGCCCTTTCCTCATATCTTTGTTACGCTATCAGATTTTTGCTGAGAAGCCGGCTGTTAGGCAGGCATTCATAAATTATGTTCCGAGTAAGGTAGCAAAAAGTATGACAATCTTTGTTTATAAGTTAATCATCAAATACGACAAATCTTAATTGGCTTTGGTAGCCATTTTCCTACGGCAGATGACAGAAAAGGACTTCTGGACAAAATATTTTAGAGCAGAATATCTTTACAGCACCAAAAATACAGCAGTAGCTGCAGCGGAAGCTGCTGAGGACGAGGAACTCGCTGTCTTTCTGAAGCCTGATGAGATTTTGGCTCAGGAAGCTCGTCAAAAGGTTATCTCTTTTCTACAGTTAAATCGTTTCCATTTATTTTACTTTTGATGAAAACATTTGTGGCACATCCATTTGATTTGAATGTCATGTCTTGTAGATCAGACGGGTTGACCCAACTCTGGACATGGAGGCTGACCAGGGAGATGACTACACTCATCTTATGGTAAGCCAACTACCACTACATGATATATGTGAGAGATTCGGATACCATCCACCTCAGTGCGGATCAAGGGTTGTTGAAACAACAATTTAAAGTGACTGACACAGCTATATATACGTCGCTGTATTGTCTCACCCTGTTAGTAGTATGGGGAGAACTGGGCCCTATAATATTTGCTTTGGAAATTGAATTAGTGGCTCTTCTAATTCATTAGGACCACTTCATTTGTTTAGCGTGTCAGAAGGAGCTGAAAAACTGATATCCGGAAAACATTAATCCAAAAACAAAAATTGTGATATTTACAGTTGTGCTTACTTGTAATTACCCATACCACAGGACCACGGGATCCAGCGGGATGGCACCATGGATGTTGTTGAACCTCAGAGTGGTCAGTTTAGAAGATCACTTTTGCAAGATCTTAATCGTCATGCTGCTGTTGTATTAGAAGGCAGAAACATTGGTAAACACCTCTATACACCTCCTTCGACACTTCCATGCTTTACACGGTAGCTAGTTGATGAAGTGTAAACATGTGTGTGGGCCTTTTGACTTTAGTTATTTGTGGGAAATATACAATAATGCTCATTGATTTCTGTTAATTGGAAAGCAGATGTTGATTCAGAAGATACAAAGATGGTTGCAGAGGCGCTCGCACAGGTTAAACAAGGTTTGTTGTTTCATTCTGCTATTACTTTCGTTTGTACTGATCCATGACCAATGCCACACGTAATATTCGTCTGACATCGCTATCCATCTCTGTTACCCCTGGTAGTAAGCAAAGCTGATGGTGAAACAACCAAAGACGCTAATCAGGAGAGATTGGCGAGAATGTCCCGGGTGGCTGAAATGGAGGATCTTCAAGCACCACAAAATTTCCCATTAGCACCGCTTTCTATCAAGGTTTATCTATATTTCAATAAAAGGCTTTCACTGTTGATCATCAATGCTGCTTAAATTCTCTTACCCTTTCTTGTTTGGAATCAGGATCCTCGTGAGTACTTTGAGTCTCAACAAGGAAACGTCGTCAATGAACCTAGAAGATCAGGGACACTGAAGAGAAATGTTCACGAAGCTTATGGGTTGCTAAAAGAATCCATTCTGGAGATTAGAACGAAAGGATTAAGTGATCCGTTGATAAAACCTGAAGTTGCATTTGAGGTACTACTGTATCCCGTCGTAAAAATGTGTGCTGACTAAAAGAAACCATGGCTTATTCACATATTCCTTCGTTTTCGCTAGACTAATAATGGCTATCCCCATTCAGGTTTTTAGTTCATTAACTCGAACTATCTCCACCGCCAAAAACATTATCGGGAAGAACCCGCGAGAGAGCTTCCTGAACAGGCTACCGAAGTCCACTAAAGATGAGGTTTTACATGTAAGTTATAAACTTTTCCAATGTCCTTGGTAACAAAAAGCTCTTTATGTACTGTGATTAGTGGATATTGGTTTATCATAATGCATCGTAAGTCTACCTTTTTTTTCATATGCAGCATTGGACATCAATACAAGAATTACTTAAACATTTTTGGTCATCTTACCCGATAACAACCACATATCTTCATACCAAAGTAATGTTCTTTCTATCTCACATTCTCCCAATCCAAGAATTTGCTATATACAGTACATATATTCCTGAGCTTTCTCAGGAAAGATTCAAACTTACCTTACACCAAGAGCAAGTTCTTTATACTAAAGATGTTAATATTGTAATATGCAGGTAGGGAAGCTGAAGGATGCAATGTCCAATAGTTATTCACAACTCGAGGTAAGCTATGAAATAAGAACCTTGGAGTAATCCGTTAGAAGAGTAGTTTACTAAAATAATCTCCATACCAATGCAACACAAACATGAAATTTGAATCGGTGCTTGGAGCTTATTGCATCAAGTGTGTTCATTTCTTGTACTGTTTCCTTTGGTATTAAACGGCGCATTTAACTCAGGCAATGAAAGAGTCGGTGCAAACTGAACTCCGCCATCAGCTTTCTTTACTGGTTCGTCCAATGCAACAGGTTAGCTTCTTCCAGTGACTACTTAAAAGAAGCTTAGAATTTTTGTATTGCATCATGTCTCGGTTAAGTCTATATTCTCCATTCACATTGTTGTGTATATATACCAAACTTGTATTGTAATCCAGTTTTATGAATTGATATAAAAACCTGTTTTTTCTCTCTCTGCCAGGCTCTTGACGCTGCGTTCCAACACTATGAATCCGACTTGCAGAGAAGAACCGCTAAGAGCGTAAGAGGTGAAGCGAACGGGGGAGTTGTTTAGAAGACAAAACAAAATCACTGCTTTGGAGAGTTTGGTTTCATTTGTTTGTTTTGTTGTCCAACAACCATTGAAACTACAAACAAAGGCGTTTATAGTATACTTATATATTGTTCATCAAAGCCTTGAGAGATTCTCAAAAGGACTTGATTGAAACAAGAGAAGAGTTTGCAAATCAATTCCAATTTTGTGATTAATTTTCCAACTATCTTTTGTTTTTCCTTTATTCCCAAATTCTTTCTTCGAATATTCACCTCTTTCTTTCTTACTATAGCTATCATGTTTTAGAATAATAGGAATAAGTTCTGTTTTCATCTTTAGGTTTATATCCTATGATTTGTTCTCAGAGAATAAATAAAACTAAAATATGAGCTTTATATCTGGTCCAACCTCACATTACTGAGATTATATTTGTACACAACACATTATCAAGTTTTCAGGGAATGATGCGTATGGTGTGAGTAGAGTAGTAGTACACATGAAAAAAAAACCTCCTACTCTGAAAACAACAAAACAAACTTAAACAAACAAAAAAGCTACAAAGCTTCTAAAACTAACACACTTTTCTTCATCTTCTTCTGTATCAAAATCTAGAAGGATTGATTCGTTTCAACTGCTTCACAGCTTGTTTCATCGTCGGCCTTATCGATAAACTATCAACAGTACACTTGAGTGCTAAATGCAAAACCTCAACCAAATCATCCTGAGGACCACTCTCCCAAAGTCCCTTAGTGAAAACCTCCTTAGCTTTCCCTTGACTCAACATCATATGAGCCCACGAGACAATATTAAAACCATTCTCATGCGACGAGAAAGAAGGATCCAAAGCCCTCTTATCAGATATCAACTCCAAGATAACAATCCCATAGCTATAAACATCTGCTTTCTCCGAGACACGACATGTCATAGCATATTCAGGAGCAACATAACCAAACGTGCCAGCCACTCCTGTTGTCACATGAGACTGAGATGTCCCCAAGAGTTTAGACAAACCAAAATCAGACAGATAGGCATTATAGTTGTTGTCTAACAATATGTTACTCGGTTTGATATCTCTATGCAAGACTTTAGGAGAGCAGTCATCGTGGAGATAAGCGAGAGCACGCGCCACATCGAGAGCTATCTTGTGAAGCACGTTCCAGTCAAGAGCAGGGTTTGATCTTTCTTTGATGAAGTCTTCAAGGTTCCCTCCGGACAAGTAGTTGTAGATAAGAAACATCTCTGTCTCACTCGCGTGGTAACCTATTAGCATGACGAGATTCGGATGTTTAACTAATTCGAGAGCTGAGATCTCTGCGTGGAACTGTTGGTCTCCTTGGAACCTACCAACAGAGAGTCTTTTAACAGCGAAGACATTGTTTGGAGAGAGTACGGCTTTGTATGTTGAACCGAATCCACCGTGTCCGATACAGTTTGAGTTGCTGAAGTAGCCGGTGGCTCTAACGATGCTCTCGTAGGTCAGAGGAGGGGTGTTGATGTTACCATTGTCTACAAAGAGTTTGATCTCTTTTGGTTCGATTACTTGAACTTGTGCGTTACGTTTCGATTTTTTTCTTGTGTAGATGAATAAAATGACGAGGATGAGAAGGACGAAGACTATGACTGAAGCCGAGACGATGGAAGCTATCTCGATTGGGTATAATCCGGTTTTGCTTGGAGTCACTTCGGTTTCTTCTTCTTCAAGATTCATGAGTTTCCTAAAGTGGAAGCTCTGAGCCCTAAAGTTGTTGCCTTGTAGGTCAAGCAAGTCTAGTTTCTTTAACCTCTTCCAGATCTCATTTGGGACTTGACCTCCAAGATTGTTGAAAGGAAGAGATGAAACCCTAAAGTTGTTGCCTTGTAGGTCAAGCAATTCTAGTTTCTCCAACTTCCAGATCTCATTTGGGACCTGACCAACAAGATTGTTGAAAGGAAGAGATAAAACCCTAATCTCGGTGAGGCTTCCAACCACGGGAGAGATCTCACCACCGAGTTTAGTACTCTCGTCGTGGCCTTTGAGGATTAAGGAGACGACTCTGAGATCTGAGTTGCAAGAGACGCCAAACCAATAACAGTGGTTTGAGATGGTTGGATCCCAGGTGGACAGAACACCGTGTGGATCGGAGAAGCTGGTCTTCAACTCCAGCAGAGCAGTTTGGTCGTGGAAAGATTTGAGTTTCCGAGGAGATGAAAACGCAAAGAGATTAAGAAGCAAGAACAAAGCAAGGAGCAGTTTTTTCATTTCTCCCACAAGATAGAGAGAGATGAACGGTGAAAAACGCAGAAAGATAATCAAAGACTTGAAGACTTTTTTTTCAGAAACACAAAATCAAATAAAAAGTTTAAAGTCTTTTCTAGATTTTGATCTTCCTCTCTCTCTCTCTCTCTCTCGATCGAAATTCAAGTTGCAAAGAAAAGAAAAGAAAGTTTCTTTGGCTAAAGAGAGAACACTAAAAAACAATAATATTTCTTGGCTCAATAATCAATACAAAAGAAAGAAAAAAAAAGTTCTTTGACGTATTGGAAACAGTCAAACGAGTATGAATTTCGGGAAAAAGAAGAAAAAGAAATGATTAAAAAAAAAACTTAAAAGCTCTCAGTTTTTTTTCAAAAAGATTTTTTACTGTACTAAAGATCTAAAGTTTGTAATTATTAATCAGTGATAGTGAAATACCTTCATACACAAAGATTAAGAAATTTAGTAATTAAAAATAGAATTTAAAAATTATTCAAGCAATTAAAAATGACTCTAATTTGTTACTATTATTATTGATGTTAAAATAACATAAAAATATTTCATAAACATCATATGTTATAAATGGGATCAGTGATTTTTAAAAATTTATTTATGAAAAAATGTGAAGTTTTGTGAGAGATGGATAGATAGTGTTTCACTTTCAGGCGTGTCTCTCTCGGTTTAGTTGTCGTTGTCATTACAGACTTTTAGAGAGGGAGGTAGGACCCATGAGAAGTCAATGTCTCTGATGTAAGTATTTATAGAGAGATGTCTCCACATGGCTCCTTCTTGTTTGACCAGCCAGGCTAACTGTGGGACCTACCTTTTTATTGTTCCATGAATGATTAGATTCCCAAAAATCAGTTTTAACGATTGTCACGGGTTTTTCTAAGTAGACGTGTCTTCCTCTGTTTATCTACGTCATAACTACGTTATATCTTACGTCCAATTAAGGCCCAATTGTATTTTTTAATAGTTTCATAACTAAGGCCCAATTATAAATTCTACTCGCTCTATTTTTTTTTTCTATATCAAAATTTAATCGTATTTTAACCAATATAAAATAGAATATTATATAAAATTAATAAAATTTGTTTTAAAAATCATAAAATAACACTTATTTTAAAATGAAAATTTTTCTCTACAAAGACAAATAAATTGAAATGAAAAAAAATATTCTTTTTGTTTCAGAGAGGTGAGTACTAATCTAAACTAAAGTTTTAAGAGGTAGAACAAGGAAAACAACAAAACCATTTATGAGTTGCATATAACAGGAACAGTGATGAATCCATCAAACATGAACCCTATAATCTTTTTTAAAAAACAGAACAACACACATAAAATGGATAATCCTTTGAAAATTATGCGATTAAAAGGCGAAAAAGATTGAACAAAATGAAAGAATTAATCCATTTTGTTCTGCAAATTTCATTAAACCAAAATGTATTCCAACAGTATAAGGATTAGCTTGTCTTAATCAAACCTTGGCTGCTTCTCTTAATCTACTGCTCTCCATATCAGCAACTCCACGTGTCAGAACACCAGCTACATACAACATCTATGGCTTTTCTCATGTGCTGAGACCAGCCCAGTTCTTGAAAGCAACAAGAGACTCCATCTTCTTGTAGTTCCTCTTCCTCAACTTAGGCAACCTAAGCTTCTTATGAGTCTCCATAAACGCTTGCTTATACCTCCACTTATCCACAAATATCTTCATCTCCTGAGACTTCTCCACCACTTGCATCGCCGCATCAAAGAACCCTCCTTTCACCAACGCATACAAGAACGCATCAACCAAACCATGATCCAGCTTAGCTCTCTTCTCCGCATCAACACACGCTACCTTCCCTTTGATCTCATTCCACAGGAGCAAGACATTAAAGTACTTCTCACCACTCACATAACCATTAATCAAAGACAAGTACGTCTGGTTATTAGGCTCATAACGCAAGAAAACCATCCTCCTAAACGTCCTCCTCGCGTCTTCTAACCTTCCTGACTTACAAAAGGCGTGAATAATCGAGTTCCAATCATGTGAATTCACTTCAACTCGAGGATCCTCCACAACTTCGTCTAGAAACGCTGCCATTAACTCTGGTCTCTGATTCTCAAGGAGTCCTGTCATGATCGTTAAGTAACTACCCTTCAAATCCACCTCTCTTGCTTCTCTCATGTCCCTAAATAACGTAAACGCTGAAACGAAATCTTGATTAGTCATGGAGGATTCTATCAAAGCGTTGTAGATCTCAACCTCTAGCTGTAAACCAGAGCTGCTTATCTCTGTAACAAGCTGAGTAGCTTCAGCTGTTTTGTACTCTTTGCTATATGCTTTCAAGATTGGTAAGTACACCCCAAGCCCTACAGATCCTTCTTGAGCAATCATCTCCTCTAAAACACTATGTGCTTTATCAGACAATCCAAGATTCACACAAGCGTTTATAATCCCAAACCCAACTGATCTCTCAATCTCAACAGACTCAGACTCCAATCTCTGAGCTTCAATAATCAATGTAGCTAAACTCTTCACCTTTTTACTCTCTACAAACCCTTTCACAATCTCACAATACGTTTCCTCACCAAAACCACAACCTCCTCTAAGAACAACATCAGAAACGCTATCCAAATCACCACTCTTAACATAACCACTAATCAAACTCGAATAAAGAACTCTCTTACTACCACCAAACCCAAACCCATCCATCAAACTCTCAACCTCCTTTACCTTCTCCTTAAACCCTTTTCTCGCATACAAATAGCCAAGAAACCCAAAGCTACACTCATCAGGCTTCACACCCATCAAAGCCATCAACTCAATCACACTCTCAGCATCATCCAAAGACTCCATCTCCCTACAACACGCTTCAAGAGCAGCGTTACACGCAAGCAAACCAGGTTTCATGTAATCAAGCCTCTCATCTATTGCAAGTCTACAACTTTCCTTAAACACTTTGAGAAACGAAGACAAGATCCCACTTTCACGGCAGGTATCGATAACCAAACCTCCCCAGAGATCAAAGGGGATAAAGACTCTGTTTTTAAACATGCATTTGACTAAGGCCAAAGCAGGGGAAGGAGCTTTAGCGAGTTTCATGGATTGGAAGAGAGTGAGGAGAGTGTTGGGTTCGATAAAGGTTGGATCTTTCTCGATGACGTAAGCGGCGGATGCGAAGGCGCGTTTGAGTTTGTGCGGTGAGGTGGTTTCTGTGGAGAGGTGGGTGATGAGGGAGTTGAGGAGAGGCTTGTTGGGGAGGGAGGAAGCGGCTGTGAGGGATCTGAAGGCTTTCCATGCTTGGTCTGTGTCGTGGGTTGTTAAGGAGGAGTGGAGGGTTGATTCAAAGGAGGAAACTTGGTCTTGGGTTAGGGTTTTGGAAGGGAGAGGAGGAGGAGGGGAGAGGGAGATTGGTTTGTGGGAGAAGAGAGATGGTTTGAGGAATGAGTAAAGGGATTGACTTTCTGGAGGAGAGGGAGAAGAAGAAGAAGAGAAGTGTTGTCTTCTTCGTTGGATTGAAGTTAGAGTTTTTCTCAACATTGAAGGAAGCAGTGATCAGAGTTTGGTCTGAGAGAGAGACTTGATTACATTCCGACATATTCAGTTTGATAATAATGAGTATATATTGGTGTGAGTAGTAATAGAATCAAACAAGCTGGAATAGCTCAGTTGGTTAGAGCGTGTGGCTGTTAACCACAAGGTCGGAGGTTCGACCCCTCCTTCTAGCGTCTTTTTGTTATTTTTTTAGGAAATTACATGAGAAATAAGGCCACATAAGAATTAATTAATGTATGAAGAATGATTACGGGAAGCCCATAGACAGCCCAAGTTTTCGAAGAAAATCATTAGTCTAGTTGGTTAGAATCTAACCGTTAGATAAAGCTTTGGCTATATATGAGTTGAGAGCCTGAGGAAGGTGTGACACAAATTATGATGATTTATAAAAATATTGAACCAGACTGGACGCTTTATGTTGAACACAAATTTGAGGAGCTTGTGTTTAGAGAAACCGCCTAAAGTTAGTTAAAAATCAGTAGTCTAGTTAGTTTAGATAAACTTTTTGTCTATATGAGACTAATGAGTTGAGCCTGAGGAAGGTGTAAACATAGACTAGGAGATAGGAAAAAGGAGATGCTTGCTAATAATCAAAAGGAACTTTAAGAATCAGCTTGAATGGATGGTTGAGAGAAAGCAGGTTGGGAAAGATATATTGGTATCAGATTCTTGGCCACCATAAAACCTAACTTGAATCCAAAAGATATTCTGAAGTATTCAAATCCAATGTCTTCCCCATTTTTATATAGGACTAGGAAGAGCAATCTGTTTGAGACCAAAAGTTCATTAACTCGCCACCATATTTTTCCTTGTGAAATGCCTACTAGCCTTCAAGTTTAAAAACATATACGTCTCAGTCTCTACTTCCCACGTTAACTAGCATAGTGGAAGAACGAAACCCCCCAACGATAACAACACTATCACCAAAAGTCATGTCTTTTTGTTACAAGTCCAAATTGACACAATACAAGATATCAATCATCTCCATACTATTTCTCATTTTATTTTGGGTGATTTTGAGTTATATAAACCCATGATAAAACTTCCAAACCCATGCCATATTAATAAAATGGAGACTGTACGTATTAAAAGATGCAAGATTCAAAGAAACAAAAGGATACAAAGAAAAGAAACAAAAGAGCATCTCGTCCTCCGGATTTACAAAAAAAATAATAATTAAAAAGGGGTCTTGATCTTAACTTGTACATCCCAAAATTACTAGCTACTAAACCAAGCATAATGATGTCTCTCGGCCAACCCATAAACCGGTTGCCAGAATCAAAGCTCATCCATTGCAACACACAAGTGTCTGAAATGATGATCTCCTAACCCCTCATGACAAGCATAACAACAACGGCTAGTAATAACAACACCGTGTTAGTTCGGTCTGACAACTTCACTCCAGCGCTCGGATCACCTAGCCCGCCGCTCCCAACCGGTCCAAGAGTAGTACCCGGGAACACTGAAGATGAGGAAGAAGTTGGCATCCCTGTGGAAGTGGAAGTAGATGGAGTCCCTGTGGTGGGCATCCCGGAGGTGGGGTTCCCTGTTGACGGAGTCCCGGTGGATGGGAAGCCACTGGTTGGTGTCCCAGTGGACGGGGTCCCACTAGTTGGGGTTCCAGTGGACGGGGTCCCACTTGAGCTGCAAAAGTTGTCAACAACATCAGTGACTAATCATTAAAACTTTATAAACTGTTGATTTATTAAAGATTAATCCAAAATGCACATCTGGATTTTTGATGCATTTTTTGTAAAGGTAAATTGAACAGAAATGATACATTGTTATCATGATCCTTGTTTATTCTATCATTGTCTCCACAAAAATCAAATAATTAATTTTCTCTCTAAAAAAAAATCAAATAATTAAACCCGCATTTAAAAATAAATAAAAACTAGTTTAGTCGGTGGACAAAGAAAAACATTACTAAACTGCTTAACACTTTTACTGATCTAAAGACAACACTAAATGAACGAACAAGAATGAATAAAGACAAAATTAACATACCTGGAACCACTTAAACAGCTTGAAGCCGCTGCAAGATTTAGAGACAAAAAAAAAAAAACAGAATTAAATCAGTACAGCAAAAGATTATAGATTTGATCCAACAAACATAATAAGTCATGACAAAGATGGGTACTTGACGGAGGGGAGCTAGAGATGACGGCGGCGCCGTTAAAGTCACAGGTGGCACCGGAGGAAGCTTTCTTCTGGTAGTAACTGTTGACAGCAACATCACAGTGGTTTTTGACAGTGTTAGGTTGGTAACAAGCTCCGTTTTGCTGGATCTGAGTACAGTCAGCTCCAGCTCCACAAGCAAAGTCTATTGCCTTCTGAAGCACTTGCTCGTTCCCGTCTTTGCACACACAATACGCCGCATCTTTTCAAAAAAAAATCAAGATCATTAGAACAAAACCAAGAAAACAAATAAGACTTTAAGTTTCACATCTCTTATAGATTTGTGTTTTTACAAGTAAAAGACAGATACATAGATACACTTTTAAGAGCTGACACAAAAGAGAATAAAACAGAGGATATAATGGGGGCTTACTTGAGTAGGTAATCATGGAGAGAACCAGACATAGAGTAAGTATAACCGACATGACTGTGTTGGTTTTTCAGAGATCTATTGCGAGAGGGAGAGAGAGAATCTTTAAGTAAAAAGAACGGTGTGTTTGAGGAGAGCGCGAGAGAGAGAGTGTTCTACACAACAACAGCAAGTGTGACGGTGTTTAGATATATAAATTATAGACGACCATTGTCCAACACTTTCTTGAGGCTTTTTATATTTTTACATTTGAGAGAAGTGTTATGGTAAAAGTTGAGTAAATAGATTGTGAAAATTACATGAACCAATGTGTGTTTTTCTTTTTCTTTTTGCATTAGGGGATTGTTGTTTGTGTAATAGTAACGATTAATAATAGTAGTTTATTTATTAAGAAAACAAGATTTATACAATTTTCATCACGAAACTGCACGTAGAGATTCAGTTTATCCACTCCTCCTAAAATCACTAGCCTTTTTTTTAAGAACAGATTCTAAAGAGAGAACCAGTCTTATTAATGACAAGATCTAACGCGTAACAAAAAGAGCGAGAGATAGAGAGGAAACAGATTCAGAGAATCCTGATACTTTATTGAGGGCTGAGCCATGTGCTCAGGACAACCTTTGCCGTCATGCTACGACACATGCAATGCGACAAACACAGCACACACTCACACACGAAAGTAGTAGAGTTTCCTTTTCTTGAAAATGCAGAGCTGGTGCAATGGGTGCATCAGCTTTCCAATGAAACATTTCTCAAGCCCATATAAATTTTGATGGGCCGTAACTTTTGCAACATATGCCTTTTCAGATTATTAATGGTTTACTGCGTGATTCTCTGACCTTGTTCTATGCTATGGGATGCATTCATTATTAATGAGTGTAAGGCGGATATGTGTAAGTTGAAAATGAAAGGGGTAACATGTTTAGTTAAAATATTGTTTCATTTCATGCATTAGTACGGGTTTTAGGAAGCATGACTTTGAGTAGCTTGAAAGATTGCTCGGATAGAAAAGAAAAGAAAAGGAAAGAAAAAGCTTAAAATTGTATATGATTTATGACGTTCTGAAAAAATGTGATTACGACAAAGATGCAATACAGTGTTCATATTAGTTGCTCACTTATTATCCTTATAGCATATCCCCTATATATTATTTGAGAATCATTTAAAAAGTTGTAACCTTAATTTTGTAAGAATTAAAAATAACTCCAATCCTATGTGGCATAGCTCTTTGGCTTCTATTTCAAATCCCAAGGATTCTAGAGCATGTGATATAATGTATAGTCTAAAAATTGTATTCTCTAGCAATATAATATTTCTTAGACTATAATTGCGCATATATCAAATATTTATTGTTTTGCATGTTTTCCTTAAATAAAACCTACGGAATTACCTAATGTGATTAAAATATATATGACAATCAATGATTTTAAACAATAAAGATTTGATAACAATCTGTATACTTTTTTCTCATTTTGTTTATTTATTTATTATTAAAATAAATTACACAATTACATTAATCATATAATAAAAATCTAGATTTTTTTTGTGTATGTTGTATTTCAAATTTTTGAAAATGAGTATAAATTACTAAAACTGTTAAAAGTCTCACATAAACTTTTAGGATCAAGGTTTTAATTTTTTTCTATATTAAAATATAATGATTATAAGACCATATGAAGAAATAATTTTAGTTTATATATATATATATATATATATTTCATATCGTTTTAATTAAACTATAAACTATTGAAACTACTAAACATCTCACATTAAAAAAAATCATTGGTGTAAAGTTTTGTTACACAAATATGCAAATAATCATAAAATCATATGAGTAGAAACCTCATTTAATAAATATCAATATTAAAAGTGTGCCATATTACTATGTTTATATCATTTAAATTTAATTATATATCATATACAAAATATAAGATTGATTATTTTGATTTATTTACGCTAATTGCGAATAAACAAGAGTGATAGTTAAATTTATATGCATACGTCAATTTATTACATAATAGTGACTGATTTCTTAGTTATGTAATATATATATTTATTATTTTATTATTTATGATATGCAGAATATTATAAAATAAATTAGAAATATAAAATACTTATTGTGCATGAAGTGCAGATCTTAATCTAAGTATGTATCTTTTTAATTATTTTAAATCTTAAGTATTTTCTAAATCCCAGGTCAAAAAAAATAAACGAAATGAGAATAAACTTCAAAATCAATATTTATATCGAGTAATAACCAAAATATAAAAAAAAAACACAACAAGAGAAAAAATCGAAGATAAATAGTATTAATACGTGAACGTAAACTTCTCATAACCATAATTATTTTTTAAGTTGTTAAATCATGATATAAAACTGAGTTAATTTTTAATTTGTTATTTTTTTTAATTTTTTAATCATTATGGTTATGTTAAATCATGACCATAATTAATTTTAAATTCTTTATTTATATTTGAAAATTTTAAAATATTTTTTTAAAAAACTAATTTAAAATTTAACTTATTTTTTATAAGATTATTTAAAAAATAATAATTTTTAAAAATATAGTTTTATAATATTATTATACAAATAAATAAATTATATTAAATTAGTTTTGAAACTTTATATATTTTAAATGCAATTATTTTACCAACTGCTTCTTAAAAAACATTAGGAAATTTGCTAATACTCAACCAATCAAGCCCAATGACACTCTGTTTATTTTCCATCACTCGAACACTAAAAAGTGAAAAGATATATGAAATCGGGTCCATTAAATTATAAGATGTGATCTACAGTTCTAATTACAATTGTTTATGATCCTACATATAGATAATTATTTAAAAATTCCAGAATTCTAAAATTTCAAATACATAAAAAAAATTATATGTAAATTTTAAATTTATCAATACTAAACTTTTATATTTTAATTACGTATATTCACCCTGCGCAAGGCGCAGGTCTTATCCTAGTATCCTAGATTATGTAAGACAAAGATGCAATGCTCATCATTTTTTGTAAAGACAAATATATCGATGGAGATCATAACAGTCTGAATTCAAATGGGCGAAATTAAGATTTGTTGCATCACACAATAATAACAGAGCTTTAACTATGGCAGTAGCATATCTCCACAAGTTTTATCGTTTACAAACGTACAAAACCAGCTGCATATAAAACAGCCATAATACCATTTCATTTCACCAAAATGAGCAGAACTCAATATTGTTCGAAACATCCATGTTTTCACCACATAGCAGCCATAATACATTTCATTTCACCAAAGCAATAAGATGTTTAGAATTGGTTTTCTTTCTGTTCTACGGATTTGCAAAATTCTGTTATTCAGTTTGAACAGGAGATTCATGATATAGAGTGGCAATCCTTTTTCTTCAACAAAAATATAGATGCACCTGCAATCTGTAAAGTTCATAAAGGGTACTAAAATATCAACCTAATTTATAAAAATAAAAGTCTCAGATAATTTTAAAACTCAAAAAGAGTTAATTTAGCAAAAACAATGTCCTGAAATTTTCCATGTTTTTTCTTCTTAAGTGCACATACATGCATCTAAATATGGAACATAAGGCACTAGATTCATTAAAGTTGAGTTACATCAAAAAACTATACTATACACACATATTATATATGTATATATATATACATATATATATATATGCCTTAAGAAATTGCAACCTTACCGGTGGTGAGACCGACGCCAACAATGAAATAATATACAAAATCTCTGCTTACAACCCGTTGAGGCTGTATTGTTTTCCAGTTTGCAATATCTTCTAGAAAATTAGTTAGCACCTCCCTCATTAGCATTGCTACCAAGCTAATGATGATTTGCTGATGGTACCTGGGACATTATATCAAACAAGGCAAACATGAATATATGTTATTTTTCATTTTTTGAAAATAATAAAACATACAAGCGCACACTACCCTATTTATAAAATGTAATAGATATATTCACTTTTTGAATGGTGTATAATCTGGTTCCAAGTCAATATTGGACGTACGTTAATAAAAGGTTTTACTCGCGAAGCTAGGATGCTCTCATATATCTCTTTCTTATTTATATTCTCCCTTTTTCTTTCTTGGCTTCCTTTAGCTAAAATAGAAAGGATTTATTCCTGTGACCTAACACATCACCCTCAGAAAGCATGTCTCATGCATGCATCTCAGATTTACATGTACATGTAATACAGGTTGATGCACCAGTACACAGTCATGCAATTGAAAAAGGGAGAGATTCACCATAGCGTGACACTGGGTGGACTAGTTGAGCTCCGTTATTAATATGTGTTGCCATTTCTATAATCCTGCCGACCCATTTCGGACATAGCTCTACCTTACGTAACTAAACCTATATACATATATGGCTTATAATAAGAGTAAGACAAAAAGTCCCTATACACCAGTGCTTGATCCTAATGCAGTCACTAGTAAATAATAATATACAAATATATATATAGATAGACACTTTTTTGTGTGTTTCAAAAAAAAAAAGATAGACACTTTTTGTCATCAATCATCCACTTATTATATATACATCATCCAACATTCCAACTTGTATATGCGTTCTGTAGAAATGCATTACTTTAAGAAAAAAAAAAGCACTGGCCGACATATCTATCAAATGATCTAATTTGTACCACAAGAGAGATGATGAGTTGCATCAATGATTAGACTAACACTATGTATTCATAAGTACATCTACATCTACGTCTACATCAAATAGACTCGTTTCTGTCAAAGCATGGGAATTTTCTCCCACTTATTAATATATCTCTTGATTTGGGATTTTAGTTTCTGACTAGAAAAAGTAACCCTTTATGCCTTTGTGGTCCATTTAAAGTTTTAAACCCTTGCGAACCAAAAGATATATATACTTTAATCTCTTTATAGATTTCAAGCCTAATCCTATACAAACGAATACTAACAAATATATAAATATGTGTGTGTGTGAGGTTTACCTCAAGGATTGCGCATGGTTTGAGGTACAATATCACCAAGTAAGCCTTCTTCTGATGGATTAATAGACGACACAGCAGCAAGTCCGTCTTCAGTAGTAGATTGGGGTAATCTCAGTGAAGAAGTATTGTCTCTGTGAAGTTGATGAAGGAGTTCTTGATAGTAATAAGGATTTGGCAATGGAGGAGGGAGGTGACGATGGAATGTGAAGTGACTAGTGTCGTGAGCTGTGAGGATTCCGCCACGAGGGAATCCAGTGGTTTGATGGCAGTGTTGTCCTTCGTATGTTGTGATCACTATCGATGGATCTTCAGATGATCGTTCTACTCTTTTCTTCACCGTGCATCTAGTGTTTGTGCATCTATAGTAGCTCCTACAAAACAGTAATTAAAAGATATTAGGTTATCTACTGATCTAAGTGTTATGCACCACCATGTATATATATCTTCTTAAGCAAAATATATAATGACATATAAAAGTAAATTTAAGATGAGAAGAAAATGATGATAGCTAGCTAGGAGACCTTGGGAATGGACTATTTTTGACAGCTTTCTGTCCATATTTGCGCCATCGATATCCATCTTCAAGATTATCTACATCACTCTTGGTCATGAACGCAAATCTTGGTTGCCGGATTCGCTTCTGAGCCTTCTTCTTCTCCTTCTTTCTACAAACAAACATCAAAAAGATTATTAATATATTATCATGCATCAGAAATCACAGAGTAACCAATCAAAATCCGCCAAAAATTCTAACAATAACATTCATTCTATAAAGTTAATGCCACATGTGGCATTAACATTCATTGTACAATCAACCTTCCATAAAAAGAACTAGTGTTATAAATAATACTTTCATTAACCTAAACATGTAAAGTGAAAACGTTACTAGAGTTAAAGTGAAAATGTTACTAGACTCGTGACCATGAGCAATAACGATCGATGTAAAATCACAAGTACTCATCAGCACTCATTTTCATGGATCATGGACTCCAAAACCCTACATATCACTTAGCGTATGATCTTATTACGGTTTACGAGACAAGAATAATAAAATAACTCATCAGGGGCTAGCTTTTTTTACACGATTAGACAACAATTAGTATACATGACTAAAACGTGAGACACTTTTGACCTAATTAACATTAGTTTAATTAATAAAAGAGAAAGGAGGAGGAGGTAGATGTAGAGTACACGCCAACATCACACACAAGCCGCAATAGCGGCGCTCTGTGTTCATCATTATTGTCTCCTTCTCTACACTGCCACCGACGATTCACCCTTATTTTGTACGGACGAATCTATTCTCCATTTTTTTTCTTGCGACAAATGAAAATGGAAATTTATTCGTATTATGCATTAATTTGGCCCCAAGTTAAAAAATATAACACCACCACCACCAAGAAGATGAGTAAAATTACGATCGGACCCTTACAAAAGAAGACATACGTGTTTCTTGTCTCACCATCTAAATATGAGGAAATGAATTAGAAAAAGACTCACGGTGTCTCCGGTGTTTTCACGGCGGAGGCGGTTGAGTTCTCCGTTGGATCCTCGCTTGAACTTGAGGTAGCAGGGAGGTTATTAGATGTAGAAACCTCTTTAACGGCTGCGGATGAGGAAGAGGAAGGAGTGGTGGTGGTCACGGTAGGTGTTAAACCTGTATCAAACCGGAGGGTGTGTAAACCGGATTGGGAGGAAGCGTGGAGGTTCCTGACAAAGTCAGAGAGGATGTTGGAAGTGTCTGTGTGGAAGAAGTGATGAGAGTCTGGAGCTATGAGTTGTGTCCAAGAAGAGTCATCGTTGGTCAGATCGGGATTTTCAGGATCGTTGTTGTTCATGATGAGAGGTAGAGAGAGAAAGGTAAGCTAGGGTTTGTTTGCAAATTGGAAGAGAGAGAGAGAGAGAGAGGGAAGAAAAAGATGGAGAGTAAAAAAAGACTAGAAGCCTGTGAAAAAATATACACTTTCTTTCTCTCTCGATTTTTGCTTTTTAATTTCTTGAAAACAGATTGTGAAAAATTACATACGTAAACTTAAATAATAATAATTCATGAGAGAGAGAGAGTATATTAATTTAAGCTGGATAGTGGGTCCCGAATCTACTTTTTCCCTCCTAGATCGACGCCTATTTTTGGAGTCGGATTCGCATTTACTCTTTTCTTTACATTTTGTTATTTCAGTGTTATTTATATAAAGATGGATTAATTTATTTTACTTTTGAGTATTCATGCATGGGAGTAGTAGTTTACAGGTTTTTTTCAAAGTTAATATAACCTACAACACGCTCTCTTCGATTTGCAATAAAATAGCAATTATATGAGCCCAGTATGAGATTCCCCTTTTTGTAAAAAGCAAACTTTTACTTTCAAATATATCAACAAAAAGATGCATAATTTGATATCTTAAGAAAAAGGAGCATAATATAAAAATTTAATTGAAAATTTAGTGTTTGAAAGTAATTAAGTGTTGATTCCTGGGTCGTGTTGTTCATGTTGGATATGACAAGAATCTAACGAATGTAATCCACAAACAATTAACCAACCACGTGGAACTTCTCCATCATCATGATCATTATCTTTATATATTCGACTGTTATTCCTTATTTATATTCCCATAATTGCAATCCTTCATATACAAAACGTTTTCGGTCGCACTTAATCAAAACATATCTACAAAGAATCATGTAAATCTTCACTGTGTAAAATTTAAACACCATCGAATCTGTATATTAGTATAAGTAGCAGACTAATCCATTTTGTAAAAATAAATTGTTAAAAGCCAGACACATGATGTCTAGGTGATGTTTAACCACTATTAGAATAGTATTGAAAACATGTACCTATGTACCACACGCTAGTAAGCTACCAACATTTATATACAGCTGTATATTAGAGTGTGTGTTTAGATTTGTGATTTAGAAAAAAAAAAATTTACCTTGTCGGTATATGCATGTAAACAAAATTATTAAGTGTTAATATACACATTCAAATAGCAATATTTTTATTTGCCATTTACGGGTTTCATCTATCGCTATTGGTGCTATAAGAATGGCTAGCATCTACGTCAAGAATCATTTGTGCGTACACGCAAGAGTGACACCTACTTGTATTTCCACATTTCATCCATAGTCTCGTAGGCCCCTTTATTTAGTTATTCGATATACATCCGTAATTAATAATAAGCAAATGAATAGAAATTTTAATAATGGGTACGAATCCTATTGCAAATAGAACCATAAACATCAGAGTTTGCAACCGTAAAAACGCAAACGTTCTTATTCAGTTGTTCAAACATTTGAACCGCAGGCATGAGAAAGAGAAACCATCAAATATAAGCAATTGTTCTTTGTGTTTTTTTTTCATGTTTCTGTTTAGAGTTAAAAACAAAAAAATGATCGATATTGTAAGCAATTCATTAGTCTGTTAGAAATTTTCGTTTGTATAGTATAATTCAATTCTATGTTGTATAGAAATTTTCGTTTGTATAGTATAAAGCAATTCATTATCATGTAGTAATTAACCAAAAGGTTTGTTTTTGGACAAAGGGCTTACCAAAAGGTTGTTTACTTATAAAATATGGTCAAAATAATTTACATATCAAAAACTATTTACTTGAATGTTGCTAATGTGTTATTACAAACTATTCTGAAACAAGATGTTAGAAAATCGTAAACACTATAGAGGAAAAAGACACTAAACATAAAAATAAAAATAAATAACTAATACGCCTCTTGCTACTAATAATTAATTATCGAATCAAACTACTATTTGTATGACTATGCGAGATAGTATATGGAGTATAAATTAATCAGATCAGTCTGCATCGACAAAAGTGGGAGCCATGGTGGCTGGTGCGAGATCGAGTCATAAAGTTACATAAGTCAAGAAGCATCAGCAGTCAGGAGAGATGCACCTTGAACTTCAAATTTGATCATACATTTCCATGGAATATACCGCAGTTAAACTTTATACTAATTAACAAGCATATATACATGATTATTAACATCATAAAACTAAAAAAAAAAAGTGAGAATCATGATTACAAATATGAAAGAGAGGTAGATTGCGAATCCGTGATCCTAATGCGACCACGTTTAATCTCTTCTCGAAAATGACACTCACGTTCAAGATTCAATTAACCAATGAGCCGACCTTTTATAATTATATGTATTTATATTAACGAGCGAAGTTTAGGAACGTTCAACACATTTTATAGATTTGTGATGCTTTGATTTGCTAGAGCATCTCAAACTCATCTTTTTTTCTCTTTATAATAAAAAAAAATCTAAAATATAGATGATTTTTTGTTCGAATTTGTTCATTTATAATAGAAGAACACATTTGAACAAAACTCATCTTTCTCTTAAAGTTTCTCAAATACAAAAGAAAAAAATAGAGATGAATTTAAAATGGTAATTAACAAAAGAAAAAAATCTATTAAAAACTAAAGTTATATTAGTTTGAGTTTTTACAGCTTTTTAATATTATTGTTTGGATTATATATATATATAAATATATTTTTTGAACACTTGGGATTATATATTAATCCTTCAAAATCATTACATGAATTGGTATAAGATATTAATATCTTCAAATACAAGAATCGATGGAAAGTATAAATATTTCTACAATCAAATATGATAAACCTTAATATAATTAAATCACGATTTTCACACTATTTTAACTAAACTGAGGATATCAAAAATGTGCCTAAACTTATAAGAAAAATGTGAATTATATGGTTTTGGATTTATAATTATAATTGTAAGTTTGCCATCAAACTGTTTCTGGAATAGTATGCAAATTACTTTTCGGAAGGGAAAAACTAAGAAGCTAGTCCAGAAAAAAAAAAACAATCTCAATCTATAAAAATGAGCAAATCAAATCAAACTTTTTTTTCCTTTTTGAGCTTCCGGCCATGTCATGTAGTAGATAAAAACATTTTTTGCTAGGAAAAATAACACTTCAGTTGATCGACTAATAGTACTGCATATATTGGAGATGAGCAAATAACATGTAGTAGACAAAAACATATTATACAGTATGTCTAGTTATTAATTATATATATATATATGTATTTATATTTCTTAAAATATATATATGCATTTATATACATTAGTGGACCTCATAATTTATCGACACTTGTATTGTAAAGTACTCAAATTTATACCCGAACAATTATTTAGCATACCAAAAATCTTAAGCACCTCTTCTTTAATCCGATAACGTTGGGCGGTATCTAGAAAGGAACTCGAGGAGTTTAGCAGATTACAAACAACGTTATAGTCGGTAGATGGCTTCACAGATTGGTAAGGATCTTGACTTGTGCTGCTGCTTCTTGCTCTGGTTGAGAAAGCTTCTAATTAACCAATCTTTACAGGGCGTTCTCCAAGCCATAAAAGGCAAAAAGAACATGAGATCACTTTGAGGGATCCAAGCTTACTCTTGGATCAATCATCCTCATCCATGAAAGATTTTGCAACGTGCCTGGAAAAACAGAGTTCTTCTCTAAAATGAAGGAAGATGTTATGAACAACAACAGTGAGGATAACTTGATGTTCACGAAACACTACAATCTAAGCTACGATTTAACTTCTACTATATTCCCCTTTTTAACATTTCCAAGAATTTTAACTCTAAACTTGGAAAATTTTAGTTTAAATTGGAAATACAAAATTTGTATGCTCCAACTCGAGAGAAGCTATTAGAAAATATTCCTATATATTTTCTTTTATATGGGGAGACGACTTGGAATGTTGAGGCAGTCAGGCTCCATCTGCCTTACTATGAAACTCACATTATGAAACTGATCCCGAGTGCTGAGGGTCTAAATGATGAGGTTGTCTGGTTAAAGGAAAAGTCTGGTAACTACACGACAAGATCAGGATATGCTTTAACAAAGGTCCATAACGGTAATCTTCAGGACACATTCAATTGGAACCGTTATGTGTGGAAGGTAGAATGTTATACCCATGGATTTTATGGGTCTTGTGGACTAGCAGAAATCAATTACTCTTCGAAGACAAGTCTTTCTCGGAAACAGAGATGTTGGGCAAAGCAATCAAAGCGGCTAAGGAATGGCAGGATTCACTGCCACCAAAAAAACAAAGCTCTGTTTTACATAAAGACCATGTTTCCTCGACCTCACGGCCTAAACAACAGGAAAGTGTAAGCTGTATTTTCTCGGATGCTGCTTGGAATTGCTCTACCTTTGCAGGAAGCTTGAGCTGGATTTGCACAAGCGACGCAGGAGATTATCGCTTCCAAGGCACAGAAAACAGGCGTTATATAGCTTCTGCTCTAGTAGCGGAAGCAATGGCGCTAAAAGCTGGCCTCTCGAAGGTCATTAACTCAGGCATCAAAGACGTAATCTGTTTTTCAGATTCTAAAAGTCTTATTGATATGATCACATGGAAGAAATCTGTGATTGCTCTCAGAGGGATCCTCCATGACATCGACGTGTTGAGTCAATCCCTCACTTCTATCTCTTTCAAGTTTATTTCTCGTGTTTGTAATGAACCAGCGGATAGACTGGCTAAGAACTCTCTGTTTCAGTTCTCGAAAAACCTCTTAGAGGTTGAAAACTCTGTTTCTGGTTAAGTTTTAATGAAAGAAGGGTTTGATCAAAAAATATTTTCTTTTATATGAATAGGCATATTTCTATATTACTTAGACTTCCTTTTGTCGATTTATAGACATGTTTACATGTACATATAAGACCTTTAGGTCTATTAATCAATAACAAGAACAACTTCTTATATACGATTTCTCACAATCTCTCTGTTTCTCCCTCTCACTCTCTTTACTGGCAACAATGCCGGTTAACCGGAACCGTTGGATCAAGATCATCTGTTTCCACATTGTCTTGTTCTTTCTTACGACCGCAACAGAAGCACGTTCCAACCCGAGGGTTCAACACGCTTACTACTCTTATCCTCACCGTTCATGCGAATCTTTTTCACGTCCATACGCACGTTCTATGTGCATTGAGCTCGAAAGAATCCACAGAAGCAGTAGACAACCACTTTTCTCTCCTCCGCCTCCGGAGATTGACCAAAGTTACGGCGTCGACAAAAGACTAGTCCCCTCCGGTCCAAACCCACTTCACAACTGAAACCAAAATTTTGATCGTCATACCAGTTTGATAGTGTAATAGAGAAGAAAACAAAATTTCTTGGAGTTGAAGAAAAGAGCTAGCTAGGGTTCCATTAAGAGATTTTCTTCTCAATTTTCTTGAAATTTTTTTCGTTCTTAATTACTTTCTTGATGTTTGTTTTGTATTTCGAAATACTATTCATGAAGTGTCTAAAAACGTCTCCAATCCTACTACAAAATTTATCCCAAAATGGAATGGAAAACACAATCATTAACAAACAAAAAAAACATTAGAGATGCTCTAACAATCTCACTTCAAAAAGGTTTGAAATATTTTCAAAAGAAGAGAAAGAAAGATAAACTTTTCTTGTCAGACAAGGAATCTATTAAAGTGGATAATCTCTTTGAGTTTGACTACCTAATAGAGAATTGTTTTTAGAAACTCTTTCTGAGGCTTGACTCAAGGGAAAGGTATTGCTTAACCAGCCTTTCACAAACTACACATTCCTTGCCTCAAACTGCAATATTCGTCTCAATAAGTATACATCTGTGGCTTTACATGGTTGTGCTCTGATGTATACAATATCTCAAGGTAAATTTCTACTCGATATATATATTACTTATAATGGCACTATCCAAAAAAAAAAAAAGATTTAGTTCTGAACAAGCTCTTCTGTTGTGATTTTTGTGAATGAAACTAGGGAGCAGCGAGCAAAGCTTGTGTCTATGGGACCTGCGGTGGAGCTATGGAAGGAAAGAGAGATGGAAAAAACAAGAAACAAGTGTGTTATGTTTATTTTTTTTTAAAACCGTCATATGTTCAAACTAATGTTGGTGCATTGAACAAAATTTGTTTCCAAGGCAGATAAGAGGCTAATGGGTTCAAAAATTTGTAGGTACGAGAAGCTAAGCGAGATGATTAGGTTATGGGAAGACAAGAAGAAGAAAAAGGCAAAGAAAAAGCTTCATAGAACAGAGGTAACATCTTCCTTTTGTCACTCTATTCTTTGCATAACTATAAAACTAATGTATGTGATGAATGTGAAGAGAGGTGTAGAGAAGGCAAAGTTGAAGGCAAAGCAGAGGTTTATAGATGATAATGAACGCATTGAGATCATTGTTGCAAGTGCAAGAACACATGCATATGAGAGTCAAATGAAGGAAGAGTTGAAGGTTAAGGAGAAAGCAAACCTCATGAGAACAACTGGGAGGAGTCCATGTAAATGCCTTTGAATACATCAAATTGCATGAAATGATGTAAATCCAATCATTCTTTCTTAATTGCTGATAATTATTGTTTGACATGTAAAATTCAGACACAATTAACTTGCTAATCTTTAAAGTACTCCTCAATTATGTCAGACAAGACATGATCAATCAACAATTATGTCACAAATCAGCAAACCAACACTCCAAGCTTGCAATCAATAACATAAAAAAGGTGCCAAAACTACTACATAGGCGTGCGGAAATTAACCAAACAAACTTTCTAAACCGAACCAAATTAAAATTTAAGTTTTTTTTATTCAAGTTCGGTCAAGAGATCGGTTCAGTTTGACAGGGAAATGGGTTATTGTTTTGGTTTAGTGATTGGTTAGTTTAGTTGAAACTTTCTTCTTAGTAAAAGTATTTTTAACCAAATCATACCAAAAATACCAAATCAAACTAAAATGATATCCAAATTTATAATCAAATTAATTGTCGACAAAAAAAATCAAATTAATTGAAATAATCAAGCTAAACGAATTTCCAAATTATCCAAATCTAATGAACTATAACCGAACCTGGTAAACTTCCATAAATTCAAAGAAAATTTTAAAAACCAAACGAATTGATTATTCGAACCGAACCGAGTTTTGTACCGAACTAACCAAAACTCGTATTACCCAAACCAAACTAACATTATAAACATTACAGACGACTTTTTTCTTTGATTGTTAACTGCTTCCGAGTGAACAAGAAGGTTTGAGCTAAGGTATATTCGCGTAAACGACAACCAAAATTCGTACAGTATATGTTTCTTTGTGGATTTTATTATTTGTAAGAAGAACCGAACCGGTTGATGTCTTCGGCAACCTCATCATCGATCCACCACCATCTATCTATCACAGTAATGCTCTCTCTCTCTCTCTCTCTCTCTAGCTACCTTCCCCTTCGTGGCTACATGAACTAGAGTTTCGGAAGAGTGGTTTACCTTCGATTTTGTTTCGTGATCGAATTTTCAGGTAAAGTCTGCGTTTTTTAATCCTCTAATCTGACGGAAGAAGTTTTTCTAAATAAAATTTTCTTTTGACATCTAAAGTTTGTACCTTTTTATCTTTTTGATGTTGATTTTTGTACACTTTTCTCTGAATTGGATTGATCTCAATTGTGATTATTAGATTTTTTCGAATGCCTTAGTACTCTTTTACTCAGGCATTGGAAGTTTTAAACTTTGCTGTCTGAATTTCAGGTTTCTTTTTCGTGTAATGATTGTTCTTTATTTCTTTATGTGTGTTTTGGTTTTTGTCTCCCATCTGCAGTGAATAAGCTTTTAGTGTAACATACAAAGTCTTGGCACCATACTTTCTAAGGGGAGTGAGGCAGGTGGTGGTTCTGGTCTTGATCTGCAACGATGTATCAGGCCGTTCCCACGGCGACGACTACTCGTGGTGGAACTCCAACAGAGAGTGCTGATTACGTTGTGACTTTGGATCAGATTCCTAAGTGGAGTGATGTTGAGCAGAGGTCATCATCTCTGGAAGGTGAAGCAGGAGATTCATCGCATTCTAATCCGCGGTACGCGAATCCTTTGGCTTCTTCGTCTTCTGAAGCAGGAGGCAGTGGTAATGGGATGGTTTCTAAGTTTCCTGTTGATCACGAGATTAACTCCAAGATTTACCTCTGGAGAGGGGAGCCGTGGAACCTCGAGGTTGATGCTGTTGTGAATTCCACAAATGAGGTAAGCTGAGATCATATTGTGAGAAAGTGAATTGATCTTTTTGTGTATTGTTTGATGTGGTTGAGTTTTTGTTGTTGGTCAGAACTTGGATGAGGCGCATAGCAGTCCTGGTTTACATGCTGCTGCTGGACCTGGCCTTGCTGAACAGTGTGCTACATTGGTACGAACACTTTCTTTTCACTATTTTATAAAGTAGATTTTGTTAAATTTATTGATGAAGGCATTACATTATGTATCCTCTTTTAGATGCTAAAGCAAAAGAATAATTTTTTCGCCGTATTCTCTCTTTCTTGACAGGGTGGATGCCGGACAGGGATGGCCAAAGTAACAAACGCCTATGATCTACCTGCGAGGTAATTGGGGATATAAAGATATACTTGTAATGTATACCTTGCATTCTCTCTCTGCTATGTTCTTCAACTATCCTTGTCCCTATGTTAGAGTTGCTCCACTGTTGTCTGTGTACAATTTTTTCATGCCCTGTGACTATGAGTACTACTTTTTGTGATTTCTGGTGAATGTTTGAAATTAAGGTGGGCAAGCATGTTACCTCTTATATACCAAACATTCCGTGTGAACTGTGGAATTGATTTGTCAGTCTCTTAATCCGCAAATCCTAGAAATGTTTTTTGGTTTCTTGTTCAGGAGGGTTATTCATACAGTAGGACCCAAGTATGCAGTAAAGTATCATACAGCTGCTGAGAACGCTCTTAGTCACTGCTATAGATCTTGTCTGGAGCTTCTCATAGATAATGGGCTTCAAAGGTGAGTGAAGTAAAATCCCTTAGCTCTTCCTTAATTTTATTTACAGCAATCATATTCTTTAGTACTTTTGTATTTTTCTTTGTTTCCGAAACTCAAGAACTCGATTTTGGTTTACATACAACATTACAGTATTGCTATGGACTGTATATACACAGAAGCCAAAAACTATCCCCGAGAACCAGCTGCTCATGTTGCCATAAGTAAGACCGTTTCTTGAACAGTCTCCTTTCAATAAAATGACTTTCATGTTTCCTAATCATGTGTCGTGCATGGTCTCCAGGAACTGTCCGTCGCTTTCTAGAGAAGCAGAAAGATAAAATCAGTGCCGTTGTTTTCTGTACCACCACAACCTCTGATACAGAGATATACAAAAGGTATAGTATATTCGGTGCATAAGCAATGTACTGTTTGCTAAAATTTTGACTATCTAAATGTAGATTACTTCCACTTTACTTTCCTCGAGATGAGCACGAAGAGGAGGTTGCCATCTCAAAGCTCCCTGCTGATGTTGGTGATGAAAATGGTGAAACCGTTATAGACGAACGTAAAATCAGAATACAGGCGTTGCCAAATAAACCTCCAGTCAGGTCTTTTCCAGCTCTAGTTGAGCGCTCTTCCACTGATCTTGCTTTGGTACGAAGGTTGGTTGAACTCTGTCTGCTTCACTCTTTGCAATTTAGTGTCTCACCCTCGTCTTTGGACTTGGTTGATTGATACTCATATATGATTTCAGGAACTCGAATCATCTTGATACATATTTGGATCCAGCCTTCATGTCTTTGATTAAAGATCCAGATGAAAGGCGCAAAGAACAGTGGGAGAAGACTGCACAGGCACAGAGTGGATTCAATTTTGTTAAACTGCTAGGATTTGGTGATCTGGGGGGACCTCCTCTCTCTCCTGCAGAGGAATACTCACTTCATTCACGATACTTAGCAAAAGCTAACTCTCTCAACCTTTCAGAGATTGCAGAGATGAAAATTGTGTATGGCTTCTCTGCACTTGGTTCTCTCCCTCTCTCATCCCTTGCCAGCATAACTTCATAGACATTGACAAAGCTCTTTCTGTTTTTCGTTCTTCAGCTACCGTGGTGGTGTTGACACAGAGGGTCATCCTGTAATGGTTGTTGTAGGAGCTCACTTTTTACTGCGATGTCTTGATCTTGAGCGTTTTGTACTTTATGTTGTAAAGGTAAGCATGCAATCACATTGCCTCGGTGGTTCCAACTCACTGCAATATGTATTCACTATCTTGCATTGCCTTGATTTACAGGAATTTGAACCTTTGATACAAAAGCCATACTCAATTGTCTATTTCCATTCTGCAGCATCTTTACAAGTGTAAGTTGATTCTTAGTCTTTGTTTAGTTGATAAATAGTTAAAAGACCCTTACGCTTTATAAGCTTCAATAACATATCTTACCTTTGTGCCATGTAAATAAACAGGCAACCAGATTTAGGATGGATGAAAAGATTAGAACAGATACTTGGTCGCAAACACCAGCGTAACCTTCAGGTATGGAACCACACTTACTCAGCCTTCCTTCCTCCTTGTGTATATCCTAATCATCTCTGCTTCGTCCAGGCAATATATGTTCTTCATCCAACTTTCCACTTGAAGGCAACAATCGTAGCAATGCAATTGTTCGTTGATAATGTGGTAAACTTCTTACCTTATTTCAAAGCTCTAAGCCTTTTCCCCCAAGAGTTAGTTAATGTCACTCTTCTAAGCTTTGTCGTCTTAATAAAGGTTTGGAAGAAAGTTGTATATGCGGACAGACTTCTGCAGCTGTTCAAATATGTTCCTCGTGAGCAGCTAACAATCCCAGACTTTGTTTTCCAGTTACGTTTACTCTACTCACCACTCTTTCAAGTGTTACTCCAATTGCTAGATTTGTTAGAGTTGCTGAGTGTTGTGTGGAACTTGGCAGGCATGATCTTGAAGTAAACGGAGGAAAAGGTCTAATCGTTGACCCAAGAACCAAGTATGTCTATCAACGGCCATGAAATCAAAACCTCATCCCACAGTCTTCAAAAATATCATCAAGACGGTTACTTTTCAATTGTATGCGTTGCTGTTTTTTGTGCAATATTTGTTTATTCTTTCATGTTTGATCTTAAGACTTTTAGCTACCCTTTTTGTGTTGATACTGGGAGCAAAATAAAGCATTCTCTTAGCTTTCAATGTAATCTAATGTTTGAATCTTGTTAATAGTTTATAGCCAAAGACTTCTGTTTTGCCTCTCTTCTGTCAATGTTCTTGTTTTACATGACAGATGGTGATCTAAAATGTTGTGTCATGGAACTCTCTTATATCTTGCACATAAAGATATGGTGACAATGACATGAAAGACCTCAGAAACTACAAAAAAAGACTCATGACAAGGACACGAAAGACCTCAGAAACTATATAAAAAAGATAAATAAAAGATATCACAAGCAAACCCGCTATACCTAGAAGTTGCCGTCTATAATATTCGGATCATCGTTCATCAAATAAAGAGCGGACTGAAAGTAGTCAGAAAGGTCAATGTCTGGGAAGTCAAGGAAATCAATATCTGGCAGGTCGGTATCATCAGGAAATTCATACTCACATGAAAACATATCGATAACTGATGCATCATGTGGGTAATCATGAGTAGAGTCATTAGGACGTCTCAGAACTTTGATCCTCTCGGAACACCGCTTCTCCACATCTCCCACAATGTTAACGTTAAAACACTGACGTAAATCAAGATGTTCCAGGTTAGGACAATTATCAAGAATGGCGTTTAAACCGGCGTCTGTTAAATTGTTTCCGAAAAGCTGGAGGTGACCAAGGCCATGTATTGTTTCAGCTATAGCCAGAGCATCATCGTCACTAGAGAGTCTAGGACACTTAATTCCCTTGCGGTTTAGCTTCAATGTCTTCAGATTAGGACAAGATTTGCCTGCAGCTTTCAGAGACTGTCCGGACAATGAGCCGTATGAAACCTCGAGTTCTTCAAGCAATGGAAGCTTCACAAGAGCTGAGGTAAGTTCCTCGTCCGTTACTAGATAGCATCTTACAAGTTTAATGCTTCTTAGACTAGTTGAACTGTAAACAATTTGCATGTTTTATAATTAAAAAAAACTGAAGCCATGTTAAAGAGACATCATAAGCAGAGAGAGAGAGAGAGAGAGAACCTATCAGCGATATAGTTGATGAGAGAGTCTGTACAGAAATACCAAATTTCAATCTCAACCAAACCTCCCTGGCTACGATCCACTGCGTGATAGCACATGATATCGCGGTGGTACCCCATGTCTACTACGTTATGCATGACAATCTTCCGCCACATAGAAGGGTCTTTAGAGACGCGACGCCATGACATACACACTTTCTGAGCGTTTTCCAATATCTCAGTGGCGTCTAGCCTTTGCAAGATGGATGACGTTAGTTCAGACGGAAGCTCCGACCAGTTACTATATTCTCTGTCTTTCATCTCCGGAGAGAAAGAGGAAGGGGCCATTTTTTCTCTGATGATAGAATTACTCTCTCTCGCGAAGACCAATAAATAAGGGAATGGAGTAGGTTCAAGTTTCAAGAGGGCGAAGGCGGAATAAGAAAACACCATTTGCTCTGCATGCTCAAATTGTCTAAGTACATTAACTAAGAGAGTGAAGTAAATTCAATAAATGAATGAAACAGTTTCAACTTTCAAAACTTATTCGTATTTGGAGAGTATCACTCAGTGACCAGCAACGTAACGTTAGGGCTTTTGGCGGCCTGTTAACTTTTAAACTAACAGGAGCTCCTGTGGATTCCTGGAAAAAATGTTTTCTGGTCATGCATCGGATGTCAAGGCAGATGTTGACTTTAGCAAGCTCATTATCATCAAGTATGAAGATGGTTTAGCACGGCTAGGGAAACGGATTGACGCAAAACTCTACGGAGAAAGAATCGTGCCCCTCACAAAGGAAGTACAATTAAGTACTTGCTTAGGTGATTGTAATGATATCAAAATGAAGAATCATAACATTTGTATTTGATCTCAACTTCCAAAACCCTAATGTGACTAACATAAGCAGCGCAAGCTTAGCTAATCAAGCTGATTTTTATTACAGATGTAAACCGAGACCCAAAACAAACGAACTACTCTGAAAATAATAAAAGAAATTATATCTTTACGTTCAAAGAATTTTGAGTACTCTGCAATTGATTTGTAGCATCAAAGTGAAGCTGCTGTGGATTCTCGGACAATCTCGTAAATAGATAAAATGTTTTCAACGGTCAGTAAGAAGATAATGCACCATTCCAAAAGATCTGATTTTCTGTTCTGCATCACCTCTTGGAGGAAATGAATGTTGTGCTGCAGATAACAACAAAGAATCAACTTACTAAAACGACAAACTTTATATCTGACCGAATAATGTAATGATAATACCTCTACAAACTTTAACTTAAAGTCTAGATTCCCGAATCTCTGAGTGACCTCGTACTCTTCCCTTAGGTATTCATAGATCTGAGCATATCTAGCTTCTCTCCAAGCAATCTCGGATCTATAAGAACACAACATTGTTTCAATGAGAATGTTCAAGATTGAGAGCATATGAGTAAAAGCAATCTCTCTACCTGTCAAACAAACCAACTCTGAGAATAACGTCAGCTAGATTAGAATTAGCTTTCCCTACAAGTTGGAAGAGCTTTTTCCTGTGCATGGTGAAAGTTCCGGTTTTCTCCATTCCACGGTTTATACCAGCAAACTCTTCCACCAACTTATCAACCTGAATGAATCAAACTTCAGTTTCTCACAATCTCTCCATACTTTCATCTCTCACTTGATTCTGTGAAGGAGATTGAGAAGGAACAAGATACCTACCTGAGAAACAAAGTAATCCAATGCAATACTTTGACCAAGCACACTCCCAATGATACGGATACTATCAGTATCCAACGTTTTGAGAACAATGTAGTCAGGGCCACCTCGCATTTCCTCACTCAACAAAGGCTTCTCCTTAATCGCATAATCTAACACAGCATCTCAAAATTAGACAATCACTGAAGTAAAGACAGAAATGGGTTACAGGACACTGACCATCTTTTCTCATTTCTGTAAGCAGCCCAGAAGCATGTCTACGAACCATGTCGAGATAAGACTCAACGTCATCATCATCTACGTTGAAAAGAACAGCAGAACCGTATTGAAATACAACCATGAACCTGCAACTGCTTACACTCTCCCTCTCATCTAGACTCTGTCAAGGAGAGAAAACACACAACATAAACATCAAACATTGACTTCCTTTTGGAAGTTTCTAAACAAACACAAAGTAATCAAACCCAAACCCATATGACATTTGCATCCTAAAGAGATAAAGCTTCAAACTTTATTACAACTAAAGAAGGAAACAGCAGAGTAAAATCTTACAGGGAATCCAGGAGGAGAATCAGAAAACTTAAGGGCAATAGAATTAGTAGACCGCGAAGTAGGAGGAACAACATTGCACAAGTTATCAGCTTGCATACCCTTCAAATCAATACTGCAAAAACCATAACTCTGAGAAAACCAAATCAAACATAAAAGGTTGAAACTTTGGAACACTAAGAGATACCTAGTACTGAGAAAATAGGCTTTGACAGGGATTTTCCCTTTATCTTCCTCTTCCTTTGTTCCAAAATCGTAGCTTTGATAAACATCGCTCGACCCACCAGAATCAGAGTCGTTGTTGTAGATTGAGATGGGAGAAGGGAAAGCTGAGAAGCGTCGGAGATTAATCAAGCGATGAGGGAAACTAGTTGTTACTGGGTGTTTACGAATGAGTGGTGGTGGAGAAGAAGGCTTTGGAGAATTGAGTGTTTGATTAGGACGGAGAAGAAGACGAGCAGTGACTGCTCTCCATCTACCCATTCACACCAATTCGAAAAAAAATTGAAATTTTTTTTTTGTTTCGTTCGAGAGTTTTATTGCATATCTAGTGAGAGATTTTGTCTTGATGACGAAGTAAAAATGGTCCGAAGAATCCTCAGCAACTCTGGTTCTCGCCGGTGACACTGCTTTAAACCTCACGTTTTGGCCTCAAGAATGAACTAATACGACCACGTTTCATTTGCAACGAAAACGACTGCGTTAAGTTAGTTAGCAAAAGAAACGACAGCGTTTATAGTCAGGAACGAAACGACAGCGTTTAGTAGGCAATGAACCGCAAAAGAAAACGTCGGCGTTTCTTAGGATTAGTGATAGCCTTTTCACGAGTCGTATCCCACCTTTTCTCTTGAACTGAGAGAGATTCGCTTCTCAGGGGATAGACATTTGATTCAAACTTGTCGGAAAAATGGCGATATCTGGGAATCTAAGGATCTCCGCGAGCTTAGTATCTCCTTATCATCACCATCCGAAATGCCTCTCGTTACCTTCTTCCAAGGTCAATTTCCTTCTCTCCTTTACTATCTTTCACTCTTCGATTCGAATTATGAAATTGGCGATTTACTGTTACCGATTTCATGTATTTTTTATTACCAACGTTGTTGATCTTTGGTTTCTAGGTTAATGCTTGTTAAGAATATATCTGAATGCGACTTATATAGGGTAGATATTGTTCTTTTAGCATGTAGCTGATGAGATTCAATTGGTTAACCGGATTAAACCAATGTTACGGTTTAAGAAGAGACGTGGTTCGTGGAATTGCCTTTACTTGTGATTTGTTGTTGGTGTCTTTACTTGTATATACCATTGTCTTTAGACGAGATAATGAAGAGAACATTGTAGTGAACTTGTTTTGTGTTTTGAGAACCAAACTGTTCTTATCTTGATCAACATTGATTTGTCTTAACTGGGACTTATCAGTAGCTCAATGGGGGCTGTGTTGCCTTGAATTAATGTGACTGAACCAGTCTTGTATTATATATATGAGGAGGTTTATGATGTTATGACCTCATGTTTTGCAACTTTGTATACAAAACTATGTCGTTTAGTTTACATGATGTTGATTTTTATGGTGGTGTCGTTACCTATAACCTGAGTTTCCATATGTATCTTGTCTGTACAGTTACATGTCTGAGAGTTTTAACCAATGTTACGGTTTGATACTTGTGGGGATTAATGTCTTTCCGTGTATATTTATTATAGACACCATTTTCTTTACAACCAGATACGAAGAGAACATTGTAGTGAACTTTTTTTGTGTTTTGAGAACCACTGTGTTCTTATCTTGATCAACATTGATTTGTCTTAACTGGGACTTATCAGTGGTTTAATGGCCGAGTTGCCTTGAGTTACTGTGACTACTGGACCAGTCTTGTGTTAGATATATGAGGAGGTTTATGGTGTTACGACCTCATGTTTTAACTTTGTTTACAAAACTCTGTCGTTTAGTTTACATTACCTGTAACCTGAGTTTCCATATGTATCTTGTCTGTACAGTTACATGTCTGAGAGTTTTATCTCTTTTGGGGGGTGATGGATTTGATTTTGCAGGTTGATTACATAAGCAATGTGGCAAACAGTTTGGAAACGCAGAAATTGTCTATCAGCCACGGAAACAGACGTGGTGAAGCGAAGGTTTTAGCAAGAAACGCCACGGGAGGAGACTATGAGCTATCACCAAGCCCGGTTCAGCAAGAGGTAGAGAGCTTTCTCTTGAACGCAATCAACATGAGTTTCTTCGACCGGTTAAACATAGCGTGGAAGATAATCTTCCCGTCCCACGCGTCGAGGAGAAGCTCCAACGCGAGAATCGCAAAGCAGAGGCTCAAGATGATTTTATTCTCGGACAGGTGTGCGGTTAGCGACGAGGCTAAGAGGAAGATCGTGAACAACATTGTTCACGCGCTGTCGGATTTCGTGGAGATAGAGTCGGAGGAGAAAGTTCAGCTGAATGTCTCCACGGACGGTGACATAGGGACTATTTACTCGGTCACGGTGCCTGTTAGGAGGGTGAAAGCGGAGTACCAAGAAGAGGATGAAGCTGGATCTATAACCAATGTGGAGTACAAAGATACGCTTGATGGTTCTGTGGATGTCAGGTTCGATTTCTATGTTCCAGAGTGATGATAACTAGGCATTGTCTTATTAGAGTGTTGTTTTCTTTGAACAAAGTCTCTGTTTGTCTGTTTTTTCGTGTTGCTGTTCTTGAAGTTTTAGTCTGTGAGGGAGGGAACAAAGACAGTTTCTTGACACTCTCATTGTATATATATGCCACCTCTCTTCATAGTTTTTATCAAAATCGATGCGTTATTCTCTTATGATGCTTATTGAAGACGGCATCAGCATGGTATCATATGATAACTTTTCGACCAGTGAAAGCTTCCAAGCCTAACTTTACACTAAGGACATATTAACTTTTGCTTCCGTTTCATCATCATCTGATTCACTTCCACAGCAATCATCCAAGTGAGAACTAGGCTCAGAGAATATAGAAGAAGTACACTTGGTCTCCTCACCAGTATTGTTGTTGTGAACCTCTCCTATCATGGAGTAAGATTTATGACTTGCTCCTGAAACAATGCAGCTCTCCTGCATTTTTTTTTTCCGCACTGGTACGAACAACTAGTCTCGTTTGATATTCCTGTAACAGCCCTCAGCTTTAATCTACCTAATTTCTTAGCTTTGACCCCTAAAACAGAAGTTATACAACCCCTAAATTATAATCAAAGGTGAAAATCCTTATCAAATTGTCCTTAGTTTCTCTGCGATCTCCATTGACGAAATCCTAGCAAAGTTTTTTTTTTTCTTTAAGTCAAGAGATTTGACCATTTCTTATCTCAGGAGCAAGAACATCCATTTTGTTGCCTTTAGACCTTCACACACTCTGCCCAAACTCTCTGGCTTATGAAGAGTCTTGATCAGCCACATACACATTTGCTTGATTTCTTTGGATCGATGATCTATTTCTCCACGAGAAGTATCATATAACACCAAATATCCATAGAACTATGACCCCGTTCTATTTACCCCCGAGAATAAAGTTCGCAACCTATTTCCCCACCAAATTTGGTTTAGTTATGATTTTTGAAAACCGAATTTCAAATCTTCACTCTCATATAATAAAACCGAGCAAAACTAAACCAAGACAAAATTAAAAACCCGACTAAACCATTATCTAGATAAGAATAGTAACCCAATCCAACATTTGAACTTAAAAATATCCTATTAATTGAATCTTAATCCGGTTAGTCATTGACTTAACATGATCTACGGTTTGTTTATAAACAGTAAACCAATAAAAATCAATTTTGTGGGTTTTTATATTTCAATCTTTATAATTGTGGGGAGATATCAATATAAATTTAATTTGGTGGGAAAATAGGTTTCAAACTTTATTCTTAGGGATAAATAGAACAGGATCATAGTTTCATGGACATTCGATGCTATACGATACTTTTTCTCGTGGAGAAATAGGTCGTCGATCCGATTTCTTTTGAGTTAGTTTTCACTAGACGTGAAAATAATTATGGACAGGGTTAAAAAAACTCGGCCCATAAGCCCATTAAACATGTATAGGAGCGGGATCCGCGTTTTTTAAATTTCTTCAGGTGTTTAATTTCATCAATCTACGATTTTTTGAACTCTCTCGAGTGGCTTCTTCTTCTTCTACAGTGCCGTTTGAATTTGATTTGGCCAAGCTTCAGAATACGCTTCTGCTCCAAATTTCTTTCGAGAGAGAACATGAACGGCGCTCGACTCGAATTCGAGAGCCCTATAGAAGATGCGATCTCAAAGCTCAAATTCTCGCCAGAGTCAAACAATCTCCTCATCGCTTCTTGGGATTCCGTGAGTTTCTCCTCTTCTCAGATCTCAATTCCAAAAAACGTAATCTCTGTTGTTTAATTGATATAATAATTCTTCTTTTCGTGAAGTATCTGAGATTGTATAATGTAGAGAGCTCTTCGCTAATCTTACAACTACACTCCCCTGCCGCTCTTCTCGATTGCTGTTTCGAGAACGAATCAACTTCATACACCTCTGACTCCGATGGATTCATCCGAAGGTTAATTTCAGTTAACATTTCCATAATATTCCATTTAATTGATTTATTGTTTTAAAGATTGCATCTTTGCTTGTTTACATTTGGTTTTTTCAGGTACGATTTAAACGGTGGAAGAGTTGATAAGATTGGTAGACATGACGACATTGCTACATCTGTTCTCTACTCTCACCAAAAAGGTTTTGCTTTATGTTAACTCTTCTTACTTTTACAATATCAAAGTCTTTGGTATATTATTGTAATAAATAGATATGCTGTTTTCTTAGTTTTATTCAGATGGTTTTTTTTTAAAGAGGTTTTGTGTTTTGGGATTAATGACTTTTTATTGTCTTATACTATACTTTAACACCTTACACTTCTCTAAGTTACATCTTAAGTTGTTTTATAATGGGATTCTTTTGGTAAAATACTAAAATTGTATAAAATACATGAATTTTTGTAGACTTGTCTTATATTAATAAGGTTGTGAAGTTTGGTTATATAATACGAGAACAAAAAAACTCTTGAATTTTTTTTTTTTTTTTAAATCAAAAGTTAAGCTATTTATGGAATTACTTTTAAGAGTTTTCAGTGTTGTGGTGCGGTTCTTCAGGTGAAGTTATATCTACTGGCTTGGATGAGAAGATCAAGTTCTGGGATACACGACTAGGTGAAAGTCTTGTGCATTCTACTGATGCTGGTGCAGCAGTGAGATGCATTACTGTGAATGGAAACAACTTAGTGGTTTGTGTTCAAGCATCAATGCATATATATGACTTGCGTAGCTTAGATCAACCTTTTCAGTCTTATGAATCACAAGTGGAAGTGCCTATCAGATGCGTCACCTCTGTTCCTTTCTCTACTGGTAAAACATAAATGTGATTTTCTTGTATATGGTTCATCATGTTTGGTTTGAGATTTAAAGTTGTTATTCAGCAGGATATGCAGTCGGCTCAGTAGACGGACAAGTAGCTTTGGATTTCCCGAATACATCATGCTCTAGTGAGATGAAGTAAGTCATGATTTGAACATAATATTGATCACTGCATGTATTCTATTGGCTAGTTCTCTTAATGTTCATATGTCAAATCATTAACTCATGGCAGATACACATTCCGATGCCATCCCAAGTCTATGAAAGGAAGACTCGATGGTGCATGCATAAATGCTATTGAATTCACTCCAGGGTAGTTTTTTTTCACTCACTATTTAATGGGGTTGTACATGGTTCACTTATTCTTCTTGCTAACAGTGGGTCAGGGACTTTTGTGACTGGTGACAATGAAGGCCACGTTATCTCATGGAATGCTAAAAGCAGAAGAAGACTCTTTGAGGTATCAATACACTAAAAACATTGACTTTTTCTCTAGATTACTGTTCTTGGCTCTTTTCTTACATAATCCTTTGTTTTTCTTTATAAAAGTTGCCAAGGTACTCAAATAGTGTCGCGTCCTTGGCATTTAACCACACTGGAGAACTCTTAGCCGTTGCATCAAGCCACACTTACCAAGAAGCTAAAGAGAAGTAAGTCTCACTCTTCTCTCTACTCTGCTCACCTTCTTTTGTTTCATTATCACACAGTATATCATATCTCTTTTTGTCTTTTGCAGGGAAGAACCTCCCCAAGTGTTCATACACAAGTTTTAAATGATTGGTAGCTTACTGAATCTCAAGTTAATCAAAGCATGACTCTTTTTTTTTTAATTTGTTTTCTAGCTATTTTGTTTGACTGTGTGTGTCTAGCACGTTAACCATGGCACGTAGAAGTTGCTATAGACTTGTGGCATGCTAAGCTTCCACATGTAAAAAATCCTCCTATCTCTTTTTAAGTCTCTCTATGTTTGTAAACGTTCATGTTGTCTTTAATTATTCTTAGCGCTAAATCACTTTGTCTATTGTTAATGAAAATGTTCTCATTTTCTGTTTCATTAAAAACAAGAAAATTCTAAATTTTGATATGCAAGTAGTTAAACATATTCGTAGATAAGCAATTATAAAAACAGAAAGATTTTCATACCTATAACTCGGAGCAGTTATCTTCTAGTTACAATTATTCTCTGATATATGCCAAAATGATACAGTTAGCTTCTATCTTGCAATGCATATCTTCTTATTTATTCCATCAAATAATGTGAATACACACATAAATCAAACTTAAGACGACGAAATGGGATCATCCTTATCTTCTATCTTGCTGCCGCCGTCGGTAAACGGTTCCGACCAAGCTTTACCCGACAAGGTAAACTAGCCCATCTATCAGCAAGAACCAACCAAGCTATGTAATGATCTGTATGGAAGAAAAGTCACCTTCCGACATGTTCCGAGGAACCACTACTAGTTGCACTGATCACTCCTACTGCACCGAGTGCACGGTCCGTTACGTGACGACCAAGGTAGACGAAAACGTAGCGAGGATCAAGTGTCCTGACGTGGCTTGCACGCAACTGATGGAGCCTTACATGTGTCGTGATGTGATTCCAAAGGACTTGTTCGAGCGCTGGGACAAAGCCTTGTGCGAGTCGTTGATCATGTCTTCGGAGAGAGTGTACTGTCCGTTTGAGAATTGCTCGGCTGTGATGGTGGTGGACGATGAAGATGATGATGATAAAGTTACGAAGACTGAGTGTCCGTCTTGTCATAGACTGTTTTGCGCTCAATGTAAGGTGCCATGGCACGCATGGAGTTGGTGTAAGAAGATGGCGACGAATAGCGACAAAGAAGATGCTTTGTTGATAGGTTTGGCTGAGGAGAAGCAGTGGAGGAGGTGTCCTAATTGCAAATTCTACGTTGAGAAAGCCTCTGGTTGTTTTCATATAAGTTGCAGGTCAGTATATACTTATTTCAATCATTTCATTACATGTTAGGGAAAGTGTTATTCTAAATTTCGTTTTGTTGTTTATTTACTTAGGTGTGGTGTCCAGTTTTGCTATAGTTGTGGATCATCGTGGGTTAGTGTTCTGCACTCATGCAAAGTCACTTGTACGTAAAGGCCATAATTATATGCGTAGTTTCTTCACTTTTTTTTTCGTAAGGTAACGAGTCTATTCGTTTAGAAATGTTTTAGACTTTTTTTTTCTATCAGACGCTTTTATAAAATTTCTTTGTTTCATTGCACCAGATCATTGCTCCACAGGCCAATAAATAATTTTTAGGTGACTTAGTTAGTGTGCATGTTCATATTCCATAAACTAGTATTGTTAATCCATTTATTGAGTTAGAGAATGAAACCTTGTTTGTTTCTTGGTCAACAAACCTAATAACCTATAGATAGTTAAAAAGAGAAATTAGAGTGAGCATTGAGTCAAAAATAGATTCACGGGAATGTGTAAGAAGGGCATAGTGCACATGGCTTAAAAGAAAAGAGCCAAGCAGAGCAAATGAGAACAAGTCCCTCTCTCATTCACTTTGCATGTCCCCATCTACCTTTTTTTTTTTTTTTTGAACATGTCCCCATCTACCATTTTGCAATATTCTTTGGTTAGATCATGTATATCTTTTACCCTTCAACATTCTAAGAAATTATACAATTTTACATATTTTATTTGTTCTACCAAAAAGCTGTTAATATTGTCCTGTTTTTTTATTTGTAGTGTGGCCTTGTTTTTTTTAAACAACTTTTTTATTTAGATAAAATGTAACATTACACATAAAATAATAAAAACACAACCAAATACAAATTTAAATAAATTACAATACATAAAGTTAAAATATGAAGAAGTTTTCTTCTAAATCTTCTTGATGTAATTTTCATGTCTGGATATCGACTTCGCGATGAATTTCCAAACTTTACTTTTGTGTTTTCTTTGTTGTATAACATTAGTCAACTTCCAACTTGGATCTATAAATGTTAATTGATATTGAATCCAATATATTGATTCTGTCGAAAGAAATAAACGTTGGAACGACCAATCTTCAATGATTCTAAGAATATCGCCATACAACAAAGAAAATTTCAATTCCTTGTTTCTGATATACTCATTCTATGATGGTTTTTATGAAAATTGTTTCCAAAATAAAGCACTAAGAATAAGTTCATTATCACTTAAATCTGAATTCAATTTGTCATCGGTCATAACCATGAAAATCATGCCAGAGATTGCAACAACAAAATAAGTGAAGTAATTAACAAATCTAAACAAAAACAATTCCTATGTAAACCGTCAAATTAGCTAACATTGAGGACTAACAAATCTAAACAAAAACAAAATACAATCTCCAACAACCAACACAAATGCATAGGAAGAATAAGAAGATCAAACATTGTTAACAAGACTATGTATGTTTTGATGTCTTATCGATCTTAAACTCGATTCTCTTAATTTCCATCATGTCAAAAAATAATTTTTTGCTTTTGGTAACCCCTTTTGAATTTTGTTATCGTGAGTTGAACACACTTTTGATGCAGGGATTACCGCATGAGCATGTTCACTCTAACTTTAGCGCACAAGAAACACACAAGATACCCAAAATAGAAAGAAAGATTACAGTCACATCAGCTCAAGAGCATGAGTCTCTTACAGTCACAACTGTTGGTCTTAGAAGTTTGCATGGTGACTATTCTAACAATCTGTATATGGCTTTGCGATGTTAGTTAGAGATGAAGATAAATATCAGAATTTCTTAAGGTATGATTCTTCGACAAAGAAGCACAAGATTTTAGCGACGACCCAGTCTTGGTCAAAAAAGCGTTCGTGAAATCGGGACTCTGAAGAACAGTGGCACAGCACTTCGATAGGGGGAAAAATCTTGTGATGGACTAGGACGACAACTTTGAGAACATTTCTATAAAGAGATTTCTCAAATTCGGTCATTCACAACGAGCTCAACTAGGGCCCAGGCAAGGAAAACTCGAATGGTTCATACCACTTTATTAAGTTATATATATATATATATATATAGTTTGTGTTATACTTTACATGTTTATCATCAAAACAATTTTACATTGTTACTTGTATTTGTCACTTTTTATAATATTTTTTGGGTTGCTTTAAATATTAGAAAAACTAAAATATATTTGTTGGTACAAATATGTATATTATTTTGTATTTAACGCATCCATTATTTACATTAAATAAAATATTTACATGTAAATAACCTATTTTAAATTATAAGTAATAAGACTAGATAGTTTTAAAATTTAGCAATATATTTATATTTTAATGCAATTTAACAATACTCACATACATTAAATATAAAAATTTAGTATTAGCTATTTATAAATATTAAAATAACTATTGAATATTTTTTATTTGAAAATAATAACTATTGATGTATGTTTTAATATAATAGATTAGAAGGTATCTTTTTGGTCTAAATTAGACTTTTATTTTAAAACAAAGCTTTTTACTATTAATATAATAGATTAGAAGGTATCTTATGATAACCTAAGTTTAACAGTCTCAGTTACGTTTTTTTAGATTTTTATAAGAATGGTTGTCTAGCTCGTCTCGTTCTTTGTTTCTCGATGGAACTTTTGAATTGCGATTCTTTCTACCAAGAAAGACAAAAGAATATGAACAAGGAAAACGACATACATATCCATAGAATTTAATGCTTCACACTTACTCTTTCACCTATTTTAATCATCTGTTGAGTTTTTTAAAGAGAATATATCCAAATAAAAGATTATAAATTCATATATCTTCTCCCAACAATCGCGTTGTTGGTTGCTATCTTGCTATGTTCGGTCACTTTCTATTTTCTCAGGGCACGAATATATGAACAATGGAAGCTACAACTTAAATAATATTCCTCCATTTAACCTTTAACCAATAATCTCCCTTGTCAATTTTCCTTCTTCGAAGTTGAAAATTCTCTTTAACCAAGTCGACTTTGAATCTTGCAACATTACTCACTGTAAAGTGTGCAGAGTAGTTACGAGGTTGGACGACCAAATATTTAAGAGACAATAATACTAAAGTCTTTTTGGCACAAACATTAAATGTGACCATCGATCATTAAATACTCAAAAAGACACATTTGTGATTAGGTATGTTTATTTCAAACATTAGGCTACCTAATCACCCAATTAAAACCTTGAAAAATCTAGTTATGCTCATTTGATCATTACAAAGGGATAAAGAAACTCTGGGGGTGAAACATAAAGGTAAAAACATCAGTTGGTAAAAATGTAAAAAAAATAAAATAAAATGTTACTGGATTTGCCAGCAACTTGACTGTGACATATGATTAAGTGTCCTTGGTGAAAAAGGTAACTCTTTTTCCCCTCTCTCTCTATCTCTCTTCCATGGTGGTGGGTTCTTTAGATCTCTGTACAAAAAAAGGTTAAAGCTTTGCACAGAAAGCAAACAGAGAGAGTCAGAGAAAAACCACAAAGAAAGAGTCTTTACTTTATTTCTTTGTTTCTACTTGATATTTAAGTAATTTACTTTTCACCCAGTAAAAATGTTCTCTTTGTTATGAGACTTGTGTTACTCTGTTTATTTGGAGAAGATGAGGGGAAAAAGGGAAAGTGTTTCTGCTTATTTGACTTGAGCTTCTTCAATCTACATCTGGGTTTTGCAGCATTCTAGAGGGAAAATGAGGAAACATGGATGGCAACTTCCTTATCATCCTCTTCAGGTACTCTTCTTCTTACTTTAACTGAAGTTTCTTTGGAGGGTTTTTGATTTTGAGGTGAAAGTTTGAGAGTTTATTTCACTTTTGTCGGTAGGTGGTGGCTGTTGCTGTGTTCTCGGCTTTGGGGTTTGCTTTCTACGTCTTCTTTGCTCCTTTTGTTGGCAACAAGATTCATCAGTACATTGCCATGGGCATCTACACTCCTCTGGTAAGCTGAATTTTTTTGCTTTGGCTTCTAAAAATCATCTTTGATTTCGGATTTTAAGAGATCAATAATTGTGTACTTGTTGGCCGTTTATGTATTGTCTCTCTTTTGTTGTCTTTCTATTTCTGGAAAATAGTTGGCTTTTTCTATAAGTACATAGCCTAAGAGTGGTTCCACAATCTAACACGCCTTGTAAGATTTGTTCTTTATAGCTAATAAGGAAAATTTTGATTTCACTTTCCTTCCACTTGGATCCTTATATAGTCCCATCAATTAGCCTCACTTTATTCATGAAAATGGTAAACTTAGCTCATAGATACTTCATGATTCCGAGCCAATTTAAGGTCAATGGATGAAACGTCCATCTCACATCTGTGGATGTGCTATTTGCTTTTGTAACTTGATCCATCATTTTAGAGATAACAGTAGTAGCCACGGGTTCAAACATATTCACTTCTTGAATCTGTCATTAAAGCTAAAATCTTCTACTTGAGGTTTAATATTTGTTTCATACAATGTGGTATCATCATTACATTCATCTTATTTTCAACCTCTGTGTAAACATTAAGTCTTCGCAACTTGTATTATACTTTGTTCCTTATTTCGATGGGTTGGTTTACTCTGAAAGATTTACTTCCTTGCAGATTACATGTGTGGTTGGACTGTATGTATGGTGTGCGGCTTCAGATCCTGCAGACCGTGGAGTTTTCAGGTCAAAGAAGTACCTTAAAATTCCTGAAAACGGGAAATTTCCTCAATCAAAGGATGCCAAAGATGGCTGTGAAAATGATCAAGAAAACAAGAAACTGGAGCCATCGCAAAGATCTTCTCTCCTGCGTTTCCTTTGCTCTCCTTGTGCATTGCTTTGTAGCTGTTGCAGTGGGAAAGATGAATCTTCTGAGCAGCAGATGAGTGAGGATGGGATGTTTCATTGCACTCTATGCGAAGTTGAGGTGAAACATTGATGAAACTACAAACTTATATAATTATTATTTCTTCAAGAAAGCTCTGCATATGCTCAGGACTAATCATTTTGCAGGTCTTCAAATACAGCAAGCACTGCAGAGTTTGTGACAAGTGCGTTGACCGTTTTGATCATCACTGCAGGGTATTAAAAAAAGATTTACCCACTCATTCTATTTTAAATTTCTCATCTTCTATTGCTTATGGAGGTGTGTGTGTGTAGTGGCTAAACAACTGCATTGGCAAAAGGAATTACAGAAAGTTCTTCAGCCTTATGGTCTCAGCTATTTTCTTGGTAAGGTTGTGTTGATCTTTCATTCCACTCCATGAAAATTAGTCTCTTCTGTTAACCTCTGCTTTGATGTGTTGATCTTGCAGCTCATTATGCAATGGTCAACTGGGATCTTTGTGTTAGTACTATGTCTACTCAGAAGGAACCAGTTCAACACAGACATTGCCTTAAAGTTGGGAAGCAGCTTCTCGCTAGTTCCATTTGTTATAGTCGTTGTAAGTTTATCTTCTTCCTTTATTGTCTCTTGAATGCAAGATGTGAAGGTTTCTTTCTTTCTCTTGCAGGTTGTTTGCACTCTACTAGCAATGCTGGCAACGCTACCTGTTGCTCAGCTTTTCTTCTTCCACATTCTTCTCATCAAAAAGGGAATCAGTACATACGACTACATAGTTGCACTTAGGGAACAAGAGCAAGAGCTAGAAGAAGGTGGTGGAGGAGGTCAACAAAGCCCTCAAATGTCAATGATCAGCTCCTTCACTGGACTAAGCAGTGCAAGCTCCTTTAATACATTTCATCGTGGAGCTTGGTGTACCCCACCACGTTTGTTTGTTGAGGATCAGGTATCTTGTTTTTTCACTGCATCATTTCTCTAATTTGGTCTCCTCTTAATGTGTTTCTGTGTGCAGTTTGATGTAGTTCCTCCAGAGAATGCATCAGTAAGTTCATATGGGAAGAAGACAGTGGTTGAGGAACGCATCAAGAAGAAGACACAACCTGTAAAGATCAGTCCATGGACTCTAGCGCGTCTCAATGCAGAAGAAGTCTCAAAGGCAGCAGCAGAAGCAAGGAAGAGATCCAAAATTATCCAGCCTGTGGCGAGGAGGGAAGTAAGCAGCAGCAGCCTTGGAAAGCAGCAGAGAAGGCAATCTAATCGCATAAGGTTACCAGGAGAATTGCCTCTAGAACGGTTGATGAATGTTCAGACAAGAGCAGCTATGGTGGAGACATCAACTAGCTCAGGGCTAGCTCCTCTTCAGCTAGAAGCAAGAAGCGCGTTTCAGACAAGCAGAGCAATGTCAGGGTCAGGTGGTGTTATGGTGACATCTTCACCAGAGAGCAGCTTAGACTCGCATGACATTCACCCTTTTAGAGTGTCGTCTGAAGCTGAAGGGTCGGTGCAGCAGCTAAACGGGTTTTCTTCAGCTGTTGGTCTGATGGGCCAACAGAGAAGACAGCAACAGCAGTCCATGATGTTGATGCCATTGTCGAGGTCAACAAGTGGTGGATACGATGCTTCTGGTGGAGAAGACAGTGATCAGGTTCCTTCTAGAAACATCCACAAATCAAGATGAGAAGTATAATAATAATCACTGAGTTTTGGCTCCTAGAGTAATGGTAGAGAATCCTTGAGGCATTCTTTGATATATGGCTGGGTCACATTCAAATAGATGTTGATCAAGAAAAGTCTTTACATTCCCAGACAAGTGACTTATGGACATGATCGTTTAGGGATTGACCAGAACGTTGGTGCATTAGAAGTAAATTTGATCAGATTTGATGTACAGAAGATGAGATTTTAGTTCAGCTACCTCTCTGCTCATTCATTAACTGCACTTTCTCCCAACTTCAAACTATTCAGTTTTTCTATCTACTCTCTCACTTTTGTCCTTTATGTTGTTTATGTGACTTTCACCTTTCCAAACTTCCACAGCTTTCTTTATTTGAGAGCATTAATTTTTAGCCCATCAGGGATTTCTTATCTGCCTAAACGCACCCATGGCTGCATGCAGCATCCGCCTAGCATAGTAGGAACGTTGGAGAAACACTTAATGGGATGGACTGAATGAAAATGAATGGTACTGACTAGCATTGTGTAACGAAGATAATGCTTGAATACTTAATTGATAATTCAAATCTGACTTGACTTGAATATTTAACCTAACGTGACATTTCACAAGTCATGGTTAATAGAGTAGAGTCATAATGGTCCAAATTATTAACAAAAGATAGTCAAGGGTCCTCTCACCACATGGCCCGACCAATGCACAAGAAAATATCTACAAAAGATGAAAAGGATCCCTCTCAGCACATCTTGTCCCAAACATATCACTCTAGCCGAAAAACTGTCTCAAAAATGATTGGCTTCAGATTTGCTTCCCTAACCACGAATCCACCTTGCATGAAATACCTTCCATTCAAATCTTTCAACATGTCCCTGGCGCTCTTGTCCTTAACTTTAACCAACACATAACAGGCGCCACTGTCACATACTGCCCAGGATCTGCAAACTTTGAATTTATTAAAGATTTTCTGAAAGCTCTCAAGTAGCTCATTAGTAAAAGCTCTGTCCTTCAAATTTCCCTCAATCCCACTGATGCACAGAACTCTCTTGTCATTCGAAACTCTATCCATGTATACAACACTTCCTCCACGGTCCTTTCTGATCTCCATATAAGTGCCACTCATGTTATAAGCCTTTTTAGTATCTTCAGGACTTCTGAACCGAACAGAAGCTGACATTTTCAACTCATTCCTGAAGTTTAGTCTTGGCTTCTTACCAAGTTTCACACGCACAGCCTTGACCGTAATTGATGCTTTTCCGAAGAACTTCACCCTGAAAAGTATAAAAAATAGTTAATCAACACAATCAAAAACACTATAAAACACACACATGTTCTTCAATTACTTACACGTCTTTTACAACTGTACTTTCGTGCATACCCTTGATACTGATACAGTATTTATCGCACAGAAACTCAACAGGCGAGTTTGCCACTTCTGAAGCTTCTGAAATGTACATCGAGAAGATGTCATCTTTTTGATCACAAGTATCGGGTGAAATGGAGAGGCTCAGCGCCTTCAATGAAGATGCCAATTGGTTAAGTTTCAGTATTTCCTAAAATAAAACAAAGCCATCAATCATCATAGAGAGAATTAATCAAGAAAGCTAAGAAAACAAGGAAATAAATTGAGATTAAGATTACCTCCTGAGCGTTGCTTTCTCCTTTTTTCAGGAACTCAAGTAAAACTCCCTCAATATCCGGTGGCGTTGCACCACCATCTTCCTGAAAACAAGATGATCATGTAAGAAATGTCTCTAGAACCAAAAAAAATTAAGAGCTGCTAGAATATGCAAACCTTAATATCGGCTTCCTTCCTAACAACATCGGCAGAGTCAGAAAGACCATTCTTTGACAGGAGAGTAGCTATCGAACGAAACAGTAGTTCCTTCGTCTCCAAAGAAGGAACAGCTCCAAGGTCACCTGAATTGCAAAGGACAAGAGTATTAGACGCTGTAAACAAAGTTTTAAGGACTGCGATATGAAAAATAGAGAGGAGCAAGTTCACTCACCCATTGCAGAGTTGGTAGGCGTAGTGCCAATATAGCTGCATATCATCAACCGCAAACCCCAAATATATAAATAATTCATAGCTAGGGAATATGAAAATTTAAAATATAAAAGGGAAAACTCCATATAAATACCCCAACTAAATTCTATTAAGCTTTTTAATACCTAAACTTTTTCACTACCCAGTTTAAAACCTCAACTAATTATTCTGCCCACTTTAACACATCAACTTTTATAACTGTATCCATTTTAATACTCAAAATTTGTTTATTTTAATTAACAATACTAATAAGTTTCCAATGAAATTTTAAAAATGTCTAAACTTCACAAAAAAAATTAATTTTATTATATGTTTGAGTAACAAAATTAAATAAATTTTTTATAATCTTAAGTTTTGTAGTAAGTTTTTTAAGTTTTATATATTGAATTTAGTTTTTTTTTTGAAATAAAAAGTAAATTATTTTTTTTCCTTCAAAAACTTTTTTTTTAAAACATTAAATTTTCTACAGAGTTTGTTTACCTTATTTCTTAAATCTTTAAATAAACTTAAAAAATTTAAATATTTTTTCTTAGATTTTGGAGATTTTTTAAAATAGGCAAACACAGATCAAAAGATATATATATATATATATAACAATGCAAAGGGTTTTTTTTTTCTGGTAGACTTACAATTGCTTCATAGGGAAGTCATCATCAGATTCATCATCTTCCTCCTCCTCTGTTTCGCTCAAGGACGAATCTGTGTCATCAGTAGGAAAGATCCACACCTCGGTTTCATGTCCAAGAACAGTGAGACACTTTTTCTGCACAAAAAAAAAGATACGACGATTTAAACATTTGACAATTTGAATGTACAAGTAGGGGATTAATGATGACTTTGTTAACCTCAATAGGTTGAGGTAGTTCGTTGGAGACACATGGCTTCTCTTTTCCAGATCTCGATACTATCCTGGTGCTATCAGATCAACAGATAGAAAGAAAAGAAGAGAAACATTCAGAAACGAAACGATCATCACGCACCAAAACACCCTAAATATTCAGAAGAAGGAGAAAGAATCGTACCCCATGTTTACGACGGAGACGAGACGGAGGATGGTTGTTTCAGCCAAGGTTGAACCCTAGATCATTTAACACTTTCCCCTTTTATAGGATATAAATAACAATGTTATCGTTCAGGCCCATTAGTTTAGCCTTCACCTTTGGGCTTATATTTAAAGCCTCTCTGTCAAGATCAGGCCCATTAATTAACTAGCTTTCTCGAGCTCTTTTAAGATCAGCGTTTAATTCTCTTAGACTATATATTGCCATGGAGATACATTGCCTCTCTTACGAGTGGAATATGTATAACTAAAGACTACACAAATCCAAAAGAAAAAGAAAAAATATTGTCATTCTAAATAGTAAAGATCTTCAGGATTATCCACTAAGATAAGATCGATAACAAAAAAAAATAAAATCATCGCTTCTCCTTCTTCTCACAAGATATGAATGATGTGGCCTTGTGCAGCCTGAAGCAACGGGAAGTAAGGAACATGTTACATGTTCCCAAAGTTGCACATGAGAGTGAGTTTCACGTCATTGTCCACCACCACCCTTTATTTTTTGACGTACCACCAATATGTATCCTTTTTTGTTCTCTTTTCCATATTTTTCCAAGCGGTTTATATGTCATCTTTCCTTTATTCTAAAAATAAGTAAGGTCTTCTATATATGTCATCTGTAGACTCTAGTAGTAGACAAATACTGACCGATCAATTTGACATAAAGGTCTTCTACACAAAGTCTTTCTTTCCTCAATATGTTAGTTAGAATAGCTACCCGAATAACTAATAGTCGTTCACACTCTTTAACAACATACTAGGTAATAACCCGCGCCTTGCGCGGGATGAGATTATTACTTTTGTTACTTTAATGATAAAATGATATTATGTCTGTTTAGCATGAATATTAGTTTATTTTTACGTTGTTTTTTTAATCTCCTAAAATATAACTATCATTCTAAATCTATATTTATTTTGGTTTGTTTGGTGTAAATGTTTGATGTTTTTGATTTTTTCGATGATAACCAAAAACTATTGTTATTTGTTTGGTTTCATTTTATATAAAATTTAGATATTTTTGATGTCGAACTAATAGTTTCCTATTATAATTTCTAAACACATGTAAAATCAACTTCAATATGAGAATTTTTAACAACTTTAGTCATTTATTGTCGTTTTTAAAAATTCAAAGTATAGCAAATACAGAAAAATCTAAATTTTTATTATATAGTTAATGTAGTTATTGAATTTATTTTAAAAAGTTCAAATTTTAAAGTTACACTAATTTTTATCAAATCTTTATTATTAAAAATTATTAATTTTCATATATTCTTTAACCATATTTGGCTATCCGTTACTTTTATTTAAGAAAACAATTAAAAAATTAGTTTTTTTTCTATTTTATATGATATACAATTAAGTTTAAATGATATTATCGTAGAAATATCATAAATTTTTAATATTGATATTCGTTAAATTATAGTTTATACTCATATTATTTTTTTGTTCATTTTTATATTTTTATAGTAAAAATTTTAAATCACTGATAACAATTTTTTTGTGTGGGATGTTTACCATTTTTAGTTATTTATAGTTTTAAAACAATATGCAAAGTTTAAAACTAAATATTAAGTTTTCAATATTTTATTTAATTTTTTTATCAAAAAAATCAAAGCACATTAGAAATTAAAATACATATATATATATATATATATTAAATGAGACATTTTTACTTATATAATTTTGTAATCATTTCTATTTTTTTATAAAAATTTAACCATGGATCACAAAAAATTTAGTGAGGCTTTTTAACAACTTTAGTCATTTATAGTCATTTTAAAAAATTCAAAGTATAGCATATACGAAAAAATATAAATTTTATTATATAGTTGATGTGGTTGTTTAATTTATTTTTATAAGTTAAAATTTAAAATTTACACTATTTTTTATCAAATCTTTATTATTGAAAAGCATTAAATGTCATATATTCTTTAATCATATTTGGAAATTCCGTTATTTTTTATTTAAGGAAACAATGAAAAAAATGAATAAGTCATTTATGATTAGTTTAATAAAAAGCTTATTATATATTTAGATAGACAAACATATTTTTCTAAGGATTCTAAGAATGATTGTGGTGATGACACGTGGCTACAAAACAATGTTGTAATGCTTCTCCTTTAATATATAGGGGATTGAAAACTTTTTAGTCAAAAAACAAAACAAAACATATTGAAAACTTATAATATATATATATATATATATATTGATCGATATCACTTTTATGGAATGAATGTTCTCTCCATTAATCTTTCAAATGGATAATGGCCTAATTTGTTTCATATAAAATACAAAATGTTAGGACTCGAAATATTTAAATATTACAAAATAGGATAACAATATTTACTAACGTCGTTTTTGGTTTAAACGAATAGATAATTAATGGCTTAACTTGTGATGATTTGATGAGAATGACTAGTTTGTGGTTCTCCCCTACGAGAGAAACAAATACATAATCTGTGTGGTTCCTTCTGTTCATTCAAGTGTCAAGTGTTCCACGATATGTAGGGACCAATTTTTACTTGATTCCATGTGACATGTTTGGGTATGTGCACAGGAAAACTATCTATACGAAATTAAAATCAATAAAGTAATCTATTTTATTGAAATATAGACTTATTCGTGAAAATATTTGCCTGAAAACATAGGGTTGGCTTGTGGACTTCGCCTTAAAACTCAATGGAAACGATTAATATTTAGAGCGTTAGTTAGGATCTTATCTAAGACTTTATGAAGAAATCAAATTCCTTGACATTTCATCAAACAAAGAATTGGTGGAAAAGCTTTTTATTTAATTAATTGGTCCCAGCTTATATAGCCATGTTCGTAGGGTCATCCATCCATCTTCGACTTTTTCTTCTCTTGATTCATTCTTCTGGAAATTAACACAACAAAGCTGCTTTTTTCAGATTTTTTTTGTGGTTTAGAAATATATGCAAGCATTTTTGTGATAGGAATTCTAACCACATACTTATGATTTAGTCTAGAATTCTTCTAAGTAGAATTGCATCGAGAACTGCCACATAAGATAGGATTTTTTTTTAATTAGTACAAATTTAAGGTTATAACTTTTTAAATGATCCTCAATTAATATATAGAGAATTTGGTGTGTGCATTTAAATCAAATGATTATTCTTATTTATTAACAATCATTTTATAGTAAATAAATCAACACAATCATTTTATCCATCATATATTAGATACAATTAAATTTAAATAAAATTAACAATATCTATAATATATTTTAAATATGGATGTTTAGTGAATGAATTTTCTCATTATAAGGTTTTATGATTATCAATATATTTTTATAACAAAATTTTGAACTATGAAAAATTAAATGCAAATTTTAAAATTAAAATATTAGATTCTCAATATTTTTCAATGAAAATATCAAAATATAAGTATGTATTTTTTATGGTATGTAATTTAATTTAAATTATATATATGTATTAATATAAACATATTAAATAAGATGTATTACTCATGTATTTTATAATTATTTTTATTATAATAAAAATTTAAATTATTGATCACAAAAAGTTTATTTGAGATAATTAACAATTTATACCCGTTTAAAAAATTCAAAATACAATATATACGAAAAATAAAAAATTTTATTATATAAATAATGTAATTGTGTAAATTATTTTAATAACAAATATGGTAGAGGGTATAAAATTTTTTAGCAAATCTTTATTACTGAAATTATTAATTGCCATATATCTTTTAATACATTAAGTAATTCTGAAACTTTTATTTCAAGGAAAGAATAAATAATAAATTTTTAAGATTAATAAGATATGTGACCAACATCTTTCTAGTAAATATATGTTTAAACTATAGTATATGTAAGGTGCTCTAGAATTGTGTTAAATAGAATTTAGAAGGCAAAGAGCTATACCACATAGGATTGAGGTTATTTTTAATTAATACAAACTTAAGGTTATAATTTTTAAATGATCCCCAAATAATATATAGGGGATGTGTTGTTTATATCAGCTTAATTATAACAATTTTCAAATATAACACCCTTGGCATAATAGGTGCACATTAGGATTCTCTTTTCTAGAGTTTCTGGGTTCAATCCTGATACTTTCACAATTAATTCTCTTTTTGAAGTAAAGTCTTATGTTTATTCATTTTATTTTTTGGAAACTCATCCTAAAAATATCATATACTATCGGATAGGATATGTGTGTTTATTATGATAACATATTTTAATCATTTCTTGATAGAATTACTAACAATGCTTCAACATGTCGTCATTATTCATTACAAACTTCTTTAATAACAACCTAAATGAAACAAATATCGTCATCATTCATTACAAACTTCTTACTTGTTTAAGTCAATATCAAAATTCAAAAACATAATCTTATCATGACATCTATTGATTCTCCCATCGTGTTGCTGTCATCCGTAACCAAACCAAAAAAAAATCAGATTTTTAGCATCAGATTTTTTGGAAAGCTATCCTGAAACATTGAAACACCTTCCTGAATTAAAAAAGAGCATTATAGAAAGTTATCCTAAAACGTTGAAACACTTTCCTGAAATTAAAATATTACTAGCCTTGATATCTCTGTGTATAAACTTCAACGGGGATTCCTCACAGAGAAACGCTAGACCTTTTTATAAACACTAGACAGTTGCACAATCACGAGCAACAAGAGACTAATAAGCACATTCAACAGCCTATCAAAGTTATCAACATGCCTAAGCAGAACAATACACCAAGCAAAAAAAGTTTCAAAATTTGTTACCATCCGAGTTTCTGGAAGGCTTTCCTGAAACTACTCAAACCCTTCCTGAAAACTTTATAAAAATCTAAACAGTTTCACAAGCACAAGCAACAAGAGACTCATAAGCAAATTCAAGAGGCTATCAAAGATATCAACATGCCCAAGCATAACAAGACACCAAACAAAAAAAATCAAATTTGTTACCATCCGAGTTTCTGGAAGGCTTTCTTGAAACTACTCAAACCCTTCCTGAAATTAAAAAAAAAAATGGCCACACAGTTTCAAAGGCAAAAGCAATTAACTAGAAACATCATAATTAAGCAAATTCATGAGATTACCAAAGATATCAATATGCGTAAGCAAAACAAATAACCAAGCAAAAAAAATAAATTTGTTAATATCAATTTATTTGGAAAGCATTCATGAAATTACACAATCCTTTTTGATTTTTTTTAAAAACACTACACAGTTTCCCCAGCACAAACAAGAAGAGACTAACAATATCATAAGCATTTAATGTAACTCAACTAGTTCTCGAGAATAGCATCTGACGTAGCTCAACAAAATCAAAAGATACATTACCTCAAAACCTTGTGTTCCCACATTTAACAATCTTTGATTTGAGCTCCAACAACTTCTAAGGAACTTTCCTTCGCTACACAACAAACGCAACACAACTTTCTCTTTACCAGAATAACTTCTCGGGTTAATAGTGGTTTCTTCAGCTACAAACTGTACCAAATAGTTTAACGAGTCACATTACACTTGCGATTAACAAGAACAAGAAAAAGGTATAACTTTTATGTGTGTTCTTAACTGCGAAAAACTATAACTCTTAGAGAAACAAAAGAACTAAAACATCACACACACACAGACATGGAAATAAATAGCCAAGAATAGTTTTACTGATCTCAACAGCAGCATTTAACTTCCATGCTACGAAATATCCAATCTCAAAGGCATTCTATCAAACACTTTAAAGACATAACCAACCTTAGCATGACATATACTTTTCTGAAAATATAAGACATATCATCTTAGATTTTTGTACTGCTCAAAGTGAATATCTTCCATTAATACAACAAACCAAACTTACTAGCTTGCAAGTATCTCTAAACGCAAGCAGTTATCATTGAAAATGGAATTACCATATTTGAAACTCAAAACCCTAGACTTTGTAATCATACTAAAAAGGCGTCGTTGAATAATCGATTCTCTTTGTCGGAGATGATAACAGTTTTCTTCGTAGGAGATGATGGAAAGAAATCGGAGTCGCCGTGAAATGATGTCAGTGTTCTTCGTCGGAGTCACCATGAGAGAGAGATCAAATATCAAATATCGAAATGTTTGTGATTCTTTTTTCCAATAGTTTTATTTAATTTAAAGCGAGGATATTAAAAAACATTTTGCTTATTAATAAATATCATTTATGTGACTGATCCCTTCTGATATTATTTTGAAGACAAAAACTTCAAAATGCCTATTAGGAAGAATTGTCCTTAACTGAAAATCAATATGCATAGAATTAAATGACAAAAAAAAAAACTCATTATAATTAAAATATTTAAAACTGGACGAAGGCAGGGAAACGCACCGTTTTGAGGCTGCGCACCTCTTTGATTGGAGTTTCTGCGATCGAAATCAACTGCGAACGATTGAGTAATCATCGAAGAGGAAGAAGATGAGCGAGGTGTTCGAAGGGTACGAGAGGCAATACTGCGAGCTATCAACTAATCTCACACGAAAATCCAATTCAGCTTCCCTTCTCCCCCATGGAGGTAAAATCACGCCAATGCATCGTGACAGGATCCTAATCTGAGAAAACCCATCTGATTTTCCCTGCAAATCACGAACCTTTTCATCTTTTCCAAGTTTCGAGCTTTAACGAATGCGTTCTAGGTTTTCGTTTAGATTAGCTTCTTGTTTTCTGATCAAATTCAAGATGAGAGTAAAGTTGAGTGGTTTAGATGAGAGTAAAAGTTTAATGCTTTTTTGGGCAGATGATAAGAAAGGGAAGCTTGGTGAGATCAAATCTGGAATTGATGAAGCTGATGTCTTGGTATCTAACTACCTTTTTACTTCTTGTTTTATGTTTACAAGGATTGTGTTAACATTATAGGTTTCATCTTTGTTTCTGTAAAGATCCGAAAAATGGACCTTGAGGCGAGGAGTTTGCAGCCGAGTGCTAAGGCTACTTGTCTTGCTAAACTCAGAGAATACAAGTCTGACCTTAACCAGTTGAAGAAGGAGTTCAAGAGAGTTTCTTCTCCTGATGTTAACCAATCTGCTCGTGAAGAGTTGATGGAATCTGGAATGGCAGATCCGCTCTCGGTAAACCTTTAATGGATTGCTCTCTCTCTTTAGCTTCTTAGGAAAGATAACCTGGATCCATTGTTTGCTCCTTTAGTTGCTCTGGATTGACTTAGAGTTGTACGTTGCAGAGAGTAAACTTAAGTTAGTCTTTCCTTTCCAGGTTTCTGCTGATCAAAGAGAGAGATTGGCAATGTCAGTGGAGAGGCTTGATCAGTCTAGCGACAGAATCAGAGAGAGTAGAAGAACCATGATGGAGACTGAAGAGCTTGGTGTCTCCATTCTTCAGGATCTTAGTCAGCAGCGCCAAACTCTCCTTCACTCCCACAGCAAGGTATGGTCTCAAATGTATCTGACTCTATATAGTATCAAAGCAAGACTATTTACTCAGGTGCAAGTTCATGACCAAATACATTTTCCTATTTGATTGCCAGCTTCATGGTGTGGATGAGGCCATTGATAAGAGCAAGAAGGTCTTGACGGCTATGTCGAGAAGAATGACCAGGAACAAATGGATCGTTACTTCAGTCATCATTGCGCTCATTCTCGCCATTATCCTCATCATTTCTTTCAAACTTTCTCATTAATATACTCAGCATTTTTTGTATAAACATTATTCTACTTCCCTTTCTAATGGGCTTGAATCTCTTTGTCTCTCCCCCAGGTTTGGTTTCCACTTGTATGACCCACCCAAAAATGTGCTCTGACATGTTTTTACATCACCTATCTTATTAAATCAGAAAATATTAAATTGGACTTAACATTTAGTTTGTAAGTTTTTAAATTAAATACATATTTCTACTTTATAGTTAAACCTACATTAAATCATTAATATTTTTTTCTTTATACTATTATCCATGTTTCCAAACAATATATTTATTTTTTTATATTATTATTCATGTTTCCAAACAACACTATAATTAATCTTATGTCCAAACAATACAAAATATTAGATCTCATCTTTTTAATATTTTCTTACAATTTTCTTTTAAATTATTTAATAAATTAAAAATTCAAATAATATACTATAAAACAAGGAAAATAAACTTATTTTTACAGGTTTAAATATTACATATCATTTATCCATCGGTTCAATCTGGTAGTCTCGGATTTTCATGATTTTTTTAAATATGGATATTTTTAAAAATCAAAATTGAATTATTGGATCACCAGTTTAACCGCAGTTCAAGTTAAATTTAAAAATACTGATTTAATAGCAAAAATAGTTTAAATATATTCTAAATGCGAATACTTCCCAACTGCTTTTTAAGAAAGCATTAGGGAACTTGATAATGTTTACCAATTAAGCCATGTGACACTCCGTTTATTTTCCACCTTTTGAACACTGAAAAGTGAAAAGATATATATATGAACCGGATCCGTTAAGTATAAGTTTTTTGATCTACAGTTCTAATTACAATTGTTTCTGATCCTACGTATAGATGAATATATAAAAAATTTAAAATTCTAAATATATATAAGAACAACCATATGTAAATTTTAAATTTATGAATATTAAAATCCTATATTTTAATTACATATATTCACCCTGCATAAGACGCAAGTCTTATCTTAGTATAATGTAATCCGAAAGGTAGATCATCAGTTAAAGCATACTCTCTTCAATCATCTCAAACCCAAAGAAAAGATAAAAAAAATGAGGATCTCATTCTCTTCTGTTCTCTTTGTACTCATGGTCGTTTTCATCATTTCTTCTTCCGGTAAAGTTTTATTGAAAATTTCTCTACAAACATAAACTTTGTTTTATACTTAGGTTAACTAAGAATTTTGTTAACGCAAATTTTGTGAAGGAGGAAGGAAATGCAGAGAAAAGTGCACGAGGGAATACAAAGGAATTGGAAGGTGTGATGAGATCACTGCTCCTATAGTTCCCCCCCAATGTAATTTGCTTTTATCCTTGCTAATATCTCTCTATACGTACAACAAATAACGATTCGTCTTATATGTAAACCTTTTTATCTGTTAAATCTGTATGTGATTCAATGAATAAACTTGTGTTTCAAAGAAAAAGTGTTTCAAAAAAAAAAAAATTCAATGAATAAACTTTTAAAAGGTGAAATCTATGTTTGTCTATAGTCTCTTGTCCTTTCATCTACTTAATCTTCCACAATCTTCAATCCAAATGTCTAGTGTATTATTTCAACGTATTATGTGGAAAACTGAATGTGATTGAGCAATAAAGGTATGAATATCAAGATTTTAAGCCAAATCTAACTAGAGAGAAAATAATATTGTTATTACTGTTTTTTTTTAACCTTATTACCAATTTTATCACACAGCAACTCACACATAAATTTGTAGACCAACAATTTACATTTATAATTTCAGAGTTCAGAAGCAAAGCCGGTCCTAGATTATATAAGACCAGAAGCAAAAATTAAAAAAGTGGTCACTTTTCCAAAAAAGAAAGGAAAAAAAATGAACAAGGGGAGGTTCAAACCCGGGTTTAGAGTAACAAGTCTATTTTCTTCAAAGCACACCACTAGACTAACTAACTATTTTGTTTCTTTGTGGCCGGAGTTGTATAATAAATATGTCGGCCGCAAGCAGTTGCTTCTATTGCTTGTCCTAAGGGCCGGCACTGTTTAGAAGTGAAAAATATAGAACAAAAATATCGTGCAGTCTGCATCATTCAAATGTCACTCTCTGCTTCACGTCTCATAGAGTCGAATAGTTGAGTAGATATGTAAACCCAACAATATCTACTATGAAAAATGTATATGTAAAAAATATTAATTTGAAGGAAATTTGTTTAAATGATTCAAAAATTTATGCTAAAAACAGCTAAACTATCATTTTAAAGTTTATAAATATAATCAAATTTCATGGCATTATTACAAAATATATAATAATAATGGATGTTGTGATTCTTTTCGACAGGATATATAATTGTAAATCAATTGTTAATTAAATGTACAAAAGGGTCGCTCTAAAGTCTCAACACACTTTTCGACAGAAGAGTAGTAGCTATCAAACCAAATAGAAGTTAACGTCACCTGAATTGCAAAGGAAAAAAGTATTAGACACTCTAAACCAAGGTTTAGTATCAATGCAAAAGAGAGATGATCACGCTCACTCATCGATTGCAGATGTTGTCATTGGATACAGCTGCATAATCAACCACAGTGACTCATCAACCCAATATACAAATAGTTATAGAGAGATCATAGCTAAGGGATAGAAAACTTACAATATCAAATCATTGTCTTACATTTTCTCAATGAGGTATTCATCCTCGTCCTCTTGGCTTAAGGAAGAGTCGCTCAAGGAAGAGTCAGTGTCATCAAAAGGAAAGATTCATACCTTGGTCTTAAGTCCAAGGACAGTCACACACTTTTTCTGCAAACAAAAGAAGTTGATTTAAGCACTAGACAGAAACCATTGGAGTTAGAAGAAAGGACATATTAACCTCAATGGAGTTGGAGTTAAAATCAGGGACAGAAGCATAGTTTTGTGCCAAAATCTGACTCTTCCTCCTAGGGTACTTGACCTTGGTGGAACTGGAAGATGAACATAGAAAATCAGCATGAGAATTATTGTAAAATATATATAGTTAAAGATGAAAGAAACATACTCCACGGAAATCTTCTTTCTATTATGGATATGTTGGTCTTTGTCACAGTCAGAGAAAACATGAGGCTCATGCGGGTTAGTAAAAAAAAAGAAGTATTCATATAAAGAAAGAAAAAATCATATATATATATATATATATATATATACTAGGTGTTTTGTCCGCACATGCGGGCTTAATCATGTTACAATATTTATGATTACACTTATTATTAAAATTTATAAAATTGGATCTCTTATTTGATTATTATTTTTACATCTTTTATTTCTTATTTTGAATCTTCTAAAATTAAAATACTTTTTAGATAATAACATTATGTAGGAAACTGTTTATTTATTTATTTTTATTTTAATCCAATTTACATATTAATTCATATTCAATTATCCAATAAAAACACTCTAACTTTTAACATGAGAGTTCAAATGTGAAATATTACTTTACAAATACAATTTATAAAAAAATTATTTTTGCACTTAAATATTGTTTATTCATCTTTTATTTCTTATCATTTTATGTTAAAAAAAATATTTTAAGATAACAACCAAATATATGTAGGAATTATCTTTAAAAAATAATATACAAGTTTTGATACTTTTATTTTATTAATTTATAATAATTTTCTGATAACAACCGCACATATGTAGAAATTATCTTTTTTAAAGAATGTATATGTTTTGATAATTTTATTATGATATTTTATAATAATTATCCAATATTCATATAAATCTAATATTATTAATATAAATTCATTTTAAATTGTATAATAAGTTATACTGTAAATAATTATTCACTAAGGTAATATTGATATTAACTGTTTTAACTTTGAACGTGAGAGCTCGAATGTTAAAAATTAATTCGCAAATAATAGTATAGATTTTAATATATCTTAATTTTTAATTTCTATAGTAGAAAATATATTTTCAAGATAACAATTAATACAAAAGAATTATCTTATTTTCTAAAATTATCATCTTATTAATATATATTCGTTTGATTATATAATAAATTATATATGAAAATATTTAAAATATGAAAAATAAGCAAAATTACCTAAAATCAAGGAGAAATTGACAACTAAGCAAATTTACTTCTCAAATAATAGTATAGATATTCATCTTGAATAGATAGATAGATATTAATATTATAGTTCTAACTAAAGTTCAACATTGTTACGTAGAATAATATCGTAACGGCACCATCGTGACCTACTGACCTCGAACCACAGTTCTAGAAAGTGACACACCTTTACACGTTGGTATTGTTTGGTCAGTAGCTATTGGTTTCCCACCTGTTATTTTGGTGGTTAGCTCAAATGAGTGGTCCAATAAAACGAGCGGGTAATTCGTTGTTTCTGTTCTGTGAAGCAAAGAGAAAAAAACTTACGTAACGATCCCAAAGTTTTCTAATCTCCAGCTTTCAATTCAAACCATAGTTTCCGATTTTGGTGGTCACACCTGTCGTCCCCATCACAAACCTATTTCTTCTCTCTCCTTCACTATCCTTCTTCGTCTCCAAGATCTACAACAATCCTTCTTCCATTATTCCACCATAAGGAAAGTGTTTCCTCTTTTGTTTCAGCTTCTAAATTGAAGGAAACTTTTGTTTCTTAAATTAGGTTAATTTTCTCATCCTGTTTTTGGTTAATCTTAGGGTTTCTTTCTATTTCCATTTTATAATCTTTCTTCTTATGGATTTTCCTAATATTAGCAAATACCCGTATTATTGATGAAAGTTATGAATCTTTGAAATGGGTGTTACAATTTGCATTTCATTATTGAATTAGTGTGAATATGATTTGATTAGTCCAAAGTTTATGCAGGATGGGCAGAGTGAAGCTAAAGATAGAGAAACTACATAACATGAATGCACGTCAAGCTACGTATCACAAAAGGAAAAATGGGATCATAAAAAAGGCTAAAGGGTTATCCATCTTATGCGATGTAGATATTGTGCTTCTCATGTACTCTCCCTCAGGATATCCTTCTCTGTACACCGGAAAACACAGGTCTGATGATTCTTTCTCAGTACCAAAGACTAATGGTTAAACATTTTTGTCTTTTTTTTTTCCTTGATGTTCTATTTTTGTGGGTTGTATAGCATTGGAGAAATCATTGCTAAGGTTGCTCAACTTCCTCCTCAAGAAAGGGCAAAGAGGAAGTTAGAAAATCTTGAAGCAAGTAGTTTTTGTTTAGCTCTCTTTCTCTTCTCATCTCCTAAACAATCATTAACACTACTTTTTTTTCTCATAATACTTCAGGCCCTGAAGAGAACATTTATGAAGCTTGACCATGATGTAAATATATCAGAGTTTCTAGACAGAAGGTGTGTGTTAATTATGTCTTATGTGTTGTTCTTATTATTATTTTTTTGTAACTTAAGTTCTTATTTTTGTTTTGTTGAATATTACTAACGTGGCTCTTTTTTATTATCTTTGCAGCAAACCAACACTCGAGGTATGTACAACCAACTACTATGATGTTTATAATGAACCTGAAAAATCTCATAATTCAATTGTATTTTTGCAACCTGGAGCTTTCAGGTTCTAAGTGAAAAAGTCAGGTTTCTACAAACACACTTATCAGAAATAGACACAAGACTAAGGTTCCAAGATCTTCTACATGCTTTCAGTCAAATGTTATCTTATTTGTGAGTTATAATATGGTTTTTCGATATAGCTATTGGACCGAGGTCGAGAAGATTGACAGCATAGATGATTTGCAGCAACTAGAAAATTCAGTAAGACAGTCTTTGTATCAAATCCGTGCTCATAAGGTATATTCCATCTCCCGAATGATTAATTAAGTTCTGATTTTGCCAAACTTATCAATCATATTGCGAACTATAGGAGAGTATGATGCAACATCAGCAGCAGCAACTTATGTCCACTGAATGCAAAAATCAGGTAAATAATCAGTTTTAAGACCCCAAAAGTTTTAGAAAAAATTACATAAATATAGACCCCTAAATTTGTTTAAAACAGTTTTTATTAACATTTTCACTATAGTAAATATAGTATGTAGTAAAGTGTACGCACTGTGTTCTTGCAGATGCAGAGTGACATAGATATAGATTTTGGAATGGATATGGAGCAGCAGCTTGAGAATTTCTCATGGATTCGTACAGATGAAAATATGAATGTTCCTATAAAACAAGAAGACCCAAATCTGCAGTTTTATCATACGTACAGGGACATAACTTGCTCTGCCAGTTCATCGCTTGAAAGTTACTCAGGACTCTTTGGTAAAACCTCAGATATCAAAATACCAAAGCTAGAAACCAGTGGCATTCCGGGGACATTGGTTGATCCAAACCAGCAATTTAGCAACCTCAGCTTCCTAAATGATCCAAAGCTTCAGCAGTTAGCTGAGTGGGATCTTTTAGGAAGTCCTGCGGATTACTACGTTAGCCAGATCTTGGAAGCATCTTATAGGCCTCAGGTAGGAGGAAACTTGGCTTCTTCTGAGACGCTAACGTATCCTCTGATTTCACGGGTAAACCAGTGGTTTTTGCTCATCATTTTTATTTGCTTCACAGTTATGTTACTTCAGGTCTTGTTTTGCTGACTGTTTCTGACGTATCTAAACATGCAGCAGCCAAACTTATAAGCCGCTCCGGTAAAACTCAAAGTGTGGATCCGAAAACGCGCCTTGTATTTAGCAGTCACGAGAATGCTGAAGAAGCTAGGATTGATACTTGATAGGGAAACAAAAAAAAAATACTAAAAATATAGATGATACCATATTAAGTTGCTTGTAACTCACGACATTCTTCAAAATGCATAATGAAAGTTTAGTTTTTCCCTCTTCTGTATTTTTGCTGACCTACCATGATAGTTGATACTACGTACTGCACATCTGCACGTAACTTCTTTTGACGGTTATTCATATTCACCCTAAGGAATGTGGTTTTAGGCGCTTACATCAGCCGTTTTTGGTGCTATATCATTCACATATTCAGAATTCAGAACTCAGGATGATAGACCTATTCTATGAACGAACTAAATATATCAAAGAGAATGTCACCATTTCCCTGATCATATCCTAGATGAGATAGTTAAAAGTGAATTTGTTACATCATACGTTCCTACCTTGGCAAAAAAATCTGACATATTTACAAAACTTACAGTATTCAAGCATTTGAGTATATTTGTGCTAGGTTGAATATTTTCTTATCTCATGCACCAACTTGAAAGGGAGTGTTAGTAAAAGATTTGTAAATATTAATTGTATATGCCTTTTCGTATCTTATCTCAAACTTCATAATTTTTCTAAGATGAATATTTACTCTTGTAAATCATCTAATACAAATGAGCCATTCTATCCACATCCTTCCACCTCACATGTGCAATGCGAGTATATTAAAAGCTGGTCGGGAATAATGACTTTTGTGGGTTAGTTATCTAGGTTAGTTTTGACAATTAATGGATCAATCGTGTCTCGTTCTATATATATATATATTTTTTTCTTTTATGTTATAAGGAAAAGAGGATTAAAGAAAAAACTATTAACAGATTTGACTTTCATAGCAAATGAAAATATATTAAGAGCTATGCTTTCACATGCAATTCAAGTGTTATTTATGGAAATTCCAGTATACCGGACATGAAATAATAAAAAAAACAAATACCGATTGTCTTTTTCCCCAATCTATTGATTATATATGGCGATTTAAGTTAAATAACAAATCTCCGATATTCCTTTACTCGTAAAAATTGAAAAATTACAACATAGATGATGACTTAACAACATAATACAATCTACCAATTCTTGAAAGCTGAAACTCTCCCTCTCGCTTCAAGAGGAGAAACAAACACAATAACAACTAGCGGGTGGAACTTAACTCCACCTCTGCATCAGTATAACTTAAAACAAACCTTACCAATAATAGAAAGAAAGAAGTTCCCAAAAGATGTAGTCATCAAGGCCTTGTGGAAAATCAAACACTTGAAACACCACTTCTTTTAAGACAAGAGCCGTCCAAATTACTAATATGCCCCCTTTCTAAACTTTCTACTACATACAAACACACATGAACCACTTGTTTTCACTTATAGTCAAATGATACGAGATTTTTACCAAATCACCCCTCTCCTAACGTATCTGTGCGCCGGTGAAGGTCTGGCCAAAGGACCAGCTAGCAGAAGCAACGTTGTTAGAGACTATGGTCCGACCATCGCTGGTTGTGACTTTGAAAGAGAGAGCTTGTCCGTTTAGGTAAGAGTTACTCTGCCAGTTTTGTCCCCAGTTTCTAGACATCGCTTGCCATCCTGTTCTTGATCCTTTAACAGACACCGAGTGAACATCTCCGGCTCCTCCGACGTTTGTAATCAGAACAAGGTTGAAGTAAGAATGTCCGTTTATCGTAAACCTTATCCCTCCCCTTCTCACGCAAGACACTCTACAAAACAACCAAAATCAAAAACAGAGTAAGATACTAAACACATCCTCTTGTGTGTTGAAACATAGAAAACAGAGCAGCTCTGTTTCTTGTTTTTAGAGTTTTGTACTCTGTCAAAACAGAGAACTTGAAGAAAAAGTCACTCTTTAAAACAAAACAAAAAAAAAGAGTAGAAACAGAGTAATATATCAAACACATCCTCTGTTTTGGAACAGAAAAAAAACAGAGCAGCTATGTTTCTTGTTTGTAGTTTTGAACTCTGTTAAAACATAGAACTTTAAGAATAAGTCACTCTATAAAAAAAAAAAAAAAAAATCAGAAACAGAGTAGTATTCTAAACACATCCTCTGTTTTGGAACAGAGCAAAACAGAGCAGCTCTGTTTCGGACTTGATAACAGAGGATTTGGAGAAAAAAAAAGGTTACCTTCTGTATGCGACGGGGACAATGCCAGCTTTGTACTGAGCGATGCGTTGAAAGACAGGCTGAGAGAGATCGAAATGCTGCTGAGGAGGGTTACACCAACCTCCTGCGTTGTTCGGTAAAGCGTTGTTTGGTGGGCAAAAGTTAGTCGCTGTGACGACGATTGAGCCAGGGAGACACCATTTGCCATCGTTCTGGCATCTTATCTCGAAGCAAGCACCACAGCTTAGCCCGTTGTTGAACAGAGCCGTGCTTAGAGCCGCCGTGTTGGTTCCGTATCCTTGGCTATAAAGGTTTCCGTACCCACAAGCACCTCCCATTGTGCCGGAGGCGTCTCCGCCGCCGTAGAACGTGGCGTGTGCGTTAACCCAACCGCCACCGTATCCATTCACATGTGACGTCATTACTACGAGAATAGATATAATCAAGAAGCCGGCAAGACCCATCTTGTTGTCTTTTTATAAAACCTGCATATAGGTAGTAAGATTGATTAGTTTATATTGTTCCAGAGAAGATGAAAGAGGCTAAAACTAGTAATGTGCGTGTGAGAGACAGAGAGGAGATGATTACCTAGAAGCTTTGATCTTTCTTCCTTTCTTAAAGAGGAAACAAGAGAGATGATTATGAGAATCTGTTGTTTGGTTTATAATTGGACAAAGCAGAGGAGGTGAGTGGTTCAATTTATAGAAAAAATTAGTGAGTGGAAATTTACGTTTTTACCACTGGTTAATCACCTACATGTACTCACCTTTACTGTTTTTAAAACCATAAATACTCATCTTTACTTTATCCTTTTCTTTTCAATTCATCTTTATTAGTATTATTTTACTTATTTTCTATTAGTTTTTTTTATCTTTTCAATTAAAAACAACGCCAAGACTCGGAATGCAATATTTTTTTTCTCTTGTTTTCCCATATTTTGAGCTTATTAAATGTAATATTAATGAAAGAGGAATGAAGTATATAACAAAAATGAAATTATTTTATTGTTGGGACCAAAAACCGTTGAAGTATTAATGTTTAATGCATGAAAAAATCAAGGAGTCAGACACATGTGAGCTACAAGACGGGTCGTGTGTTTGCTATTTTTTCCAGGCGCCTTCAAAAAGACATAACACACAGTTCACTTGGAAAACAGTATATATTAATTTTTAATAAATAATTGAGAAAATAAGAATATTAGATATTACGAAGTGTAGAAATTGTATTTGGTGTGGTTGATGTAAATAGTAGTGGTTTATAACTGGGCGGATTTGTTATTAAATAATAGTAAAAGAAAGAAATGAAAAGCAAGAAAATAAAATAAAGACTAAGAAAATTCAAGTTGGAATCCAAGTGGGTCACAGTGGTCAGCTTTGAGTTAGATGTATCAAGAAACGTATAGCTTTGTCGTTCGTTTATCTCAATCTATATTTCGATGTGTAACACTCCTAGTTATATTTATTTACAAAATGATCAAATCTATGTACGATCAATGCAGTCGTGTTGGCTTATGTGAAAAAATGTCACTGGCGTACATTAAATTTTATCACTTGATAATGACAAAAGAAAAATTACATGTGTTTGGTTATGAAGTACTTATCTAACTTGTTATGGAGCTTGTTCGGTGTTTTCTGATGAAATATTTATTAGGGTTAGTTGGAATCTAGATTTTGTGATGACATGTTACTTTGATCATCGAGAAATTAAATGCACATCTTAAATTTTATAAGGTCAAGAAGCCAAATTTCCGTAATTTCGGCTCAAACACATGAGTCCGCTATTTCCTAGTTCTCAATGTATGAATTAATCACTTTATAACACAGCTAGTAATACAGTTAAAGTTTTTTTCTTCAAAATATTAATAAATGTTTTTACCTAGTTGTTACATTTTTTTTTCCTGCCAGACCAAAAATCTATACTATTATTTGCGAAGTAATTTTTCGCAACGGAGCTCTCACATTAAAAGTTAGAGCGGTTAATATCTATTTTACCCTTAATGAAATTTTTATATACAACTAATTTTATGATTAAAAACGAAATTTAAAAAATAAAATTAGATAAGTATGTTATTATCTTAGATAATAAAGAATAATTAATATAATAAGTTTATAAAAAATAAGATAATTCTTATATATGTTATTATTATCTGAATAATATTGTAACAACATGATAATGCTTATATATCTTAATTTTATATATAATTGATTTTGGATTTTGACAGTAATATTATTTTATTATAAATATTAATCAAACAAAAACATTTGTATAAAGATACTTTTAATTATATAATTAAATATTAGATATTGAAAATTGAAATAGTCAAGTTAATGTACCTTTAATGAAATTTATATATTTGTATATAAATTAGTTAAAAACGAATTTTATGTTAGTGACAGAAATTTATATGTTATTATATTAGTTAATTTATTATAAATTAATAGGATACTTATCCACATTCATGCATATTTAAAACATAAGATATCTTGTAGAATATTATAGAGTTATCTGGAAATATTTCTTTTATTATGAAAAATAAAAATATATGTTAGAAAACAATTTAAAATTAAATATTAAGAAAAAATATAAATATATTTTCAAAAATATTTTGTTATGTGGATATTTCTCAACACTATAATAAGCATATAGATTTTGATGAAAATTCATATAAAAGTATTTTAATGTTTGATTTAAGTTTTTTAAAATTATAAAAAATAATTTATAATATTATTTTAGAATTAATAAAACAAAAAAATAATAAATATTCGTAAGAAAATTATGCCCGCATATGTGGGCACAACACCTAGTATCTATTATTTACTATAAAATCAAAACATATGTATAAGTAAATTATTATGTAAAAGATAAATAAATGAAAATAATTTTACCAAAAAAATGAAAATAGAGATACCCCCGCATGTAGTTGAGGATTCCGTTTCAAGCTAACGTTGTAAGCATCTATTGATAGATAAGCAGATGAAAGTTGACGTACGAATCCATCATTTTACAATTGTTTATTGGTGTTAAATGGTTTCATCTACGAATGATTATTGTAACTAATCAGTGATGCTCATCTCCTCACATCCCAAAATTTAAATACGTATACATCTTCGTATCAACTTATCAATCTATTCATTTGTTTTGAGTTATGTAAACAAAGTAAATTATGTCATATTACAGACTTCTTTCTTCGAAAACTTGCATAGAAAATGTGTAACTACATATGGCAAAAGCAGAGCCGGCCCTGGGTATAAGCAGCAGAAGCAGTGGCTTCCGGCCGCCAGAGAATATAAAAAATATCGACCACATATTTAACAAAGTGTCTCATTAGCATAGTGGTTGAAGTGTCTTTGAACAATATTCTGGACCAGGGTTCGAGCAACCCTACCAACAAAAATTTTTTTTCGGCTTTTTTTCCATTTTTTGCTCCTAGCCTTAATACTTGTAGGACCGGCTCTGGGCAAAAGGAAACATAAGTAAAAGCAAGTATCCAACATCAGCCATGTTTAGTTAAATCGTCTATAAAAGAAGAAAAAAGTACGGCTCCCTCCGGCGAGGATGTAAATGGCGACCGTGGTGTACGGCTCCTCCGTGTCGGTTTCTTTTTGCCTGAAATTAACAGATCTGGGTAGCTCTTGACTCACTGATTCTTCTCCATCATCTCTCTCTCTTAGCAGTTGAAGAGTTTGGGGAAGATCTGTGAAGTTTGGTCACCAAAATTCTTGCTTTTCCCTCCAATATCCAGTGACATCCTTTTTCCCTCTCTCCTCAATGTCTCAATCCAGATCCGACGAAAACATTTTTGTTTGAAAATCAACTTGTCAGATCTCTTCGTACATCCACGCTTCAGAGTCCTTGCACCTCCATACCTCCACTGAGCCAAAGACGTATTCACTTTGCGGTGCTAGAAACTACCTCTAGTATTCCTTCAGTGAGATAAAGGAAGAAATAAAATTCAAGATTAAGAGTAATTTGTTCTGGTTTATCACATTAATTTTTTGGTGTTGATAAATTCAGTATACATCTACTTTTGAAGACCAAAAATATTTAGTGTATTTGGTGGTGTGAAATTGTCAAAACTGGCAGCCAAGCTGTGGTGTTTCCAGACACCGGCTAACATCATCGCTGCCTCGTTGGTGAAAAATCAAACATTATATCTTGGTGCTTAAGGTTTGAAGCAGCTTCTGTCAAGTCTGAATTGGTACATCTAGTGGTTGACGGCGGCATCTTAAAATCACTGTGGGAAAGAAAACCTAATGCAATCTTGGGCTTGTGTGTTTCTATTGGGCCACAATATCCCCTGAATTTTTACTTCTGGAATTACCAGCTTGTAGAATTTAACAAAGCACATAAAGTTCAAGTATTAAACGGTTTTTTCCCCAAGGGTTCTGGCTCATTACATTAGTTTTAACTGATGGTTATGTGTCTAGTATACCAATATTTGTCGAGAATCATTAATTTTGCAAGATGAATGTCGTGGCTTGGAATTGTCAGGGTGTAGGAGCTGATTGGACGAAGGAACATCTTGATGAGTTATATCATTGTTTCCGACCAAAATTTTTATTCTTATCAGAAACAAAAAACAGACGACATATTTTACAAAATGTGCAAGTTTCTTATGGATATGATCAAGTTTATACCGTGGAGCCATGTGGACGAAGCGGTGGTCTAGCACTTTTGTATATGGATGATCCCTCAGTCACCATCTTGTATGCGGATGCGCACATGATTGATATTGAAACACGACTTGAAGGACATGCGATTTTTATGACATTTGTATATGGGGAACCTGATATAAGATATCGAGACTTAGTTTGGGAACGATTGTCGCGTATGAGTACGACTCGGAGTGGCGCGTGGTTCATGATTGGAGATTTTAATGAGCTCACAGGCAACCATGAGAAGAGGGGAGGAAGACGTCGTTCAGAGAGTTCTTTCCTCCCTTTCCGAATCATGTTAGAGAACTGTGGAATGCTTAACTTTCCATATAAAGGAAACTCGTTTTCATGGGTAGGAAAAAGAAAGAATGGAAAAGTGAAATGCAAACTTGATAGAGCAGTGGCAAATGAGGAATGGCACGCCCTTTTTAACCATAGTATAGTGGAATACTTACAACTATGGGGGTCGGACCATAGACCGGTTCTCACAAGGATCCAAACCTCAACCCGAAGAACTAAGAAAAAGAACTTCAGATTTGATAAGAGGTGGATAGGCAAACCTGGTTTTAAGGAAGCGGTAACTTCGGGATGGGGACAATTTGATGAAATTCCAGTCCGAAATTTTCATCAAAAAGTTACCTCATGCCGGAATAAGATCAGTACATGGAAAAAGAATAACCCGGCAAACTCAGCTGTTTTGATTGACGAATTAAAAAGAAAGATTGATCTGGCCCAAGATGATGAAAACTCCACGACTGAGGAGGTGGAAGACTTGAGACGACAGTTGATAATGGCGTTTAAAGAAGAGAACACTTTTTGGGAACAAAAGAGTAGGAATCAATGGCATAAACATGGGGATAGAAACACAAAATTTCACCATGCCACTACGAAACAACGCAGAGCACATAATCGGATCATCTGCATTAAAGACAAGCATGGGAAGTTGGTAGAGAGTGAAATCGAGGTGGAGAACGTTGCTGTTCAATACT